TATTTAGAGATAGGGTTAAATTTTCAAAAGGTATGTAAGTAATGTTTTCGAAATATACAGGGTGACTGGTGAATTACTATCAATATTTAAGGAGAATACTCGGTACATGATTCTCATTCGAATTATGTAAAAAAAATAGGCACTTAATTTTTGACAAAATATCCGTATAAATAAGTAAAGTGTTGACACGTTCCAAGTGTTCAAGTGTGGACGCGTGCGGTGGCGTGCTGATACAACAACACGTCACGACACGCGTATGTGTGAGTGTCAGTGTATACCTAATCTGTAGGGTGTTCACACGATGCGTAATTAATTACATAACTTTTGACTAACTTTACTAAGAAGTTTATTAATATTTATGTTATATTAATTTTTATTTTGTCATATATGATCGTCAAATATCACGTCCTCAAATATCGATAGTAATTCACCAGTCACTCTGTATATTGTATGGCATAAATTAAAAGTCTAATTGCATCTCTTAATTAATTAAATCAAAACCTATGGTGACATATTTACAACACCTTTTATGACATAGATAGTTATAGTTAACTGTGAATATTTACTTTGTTATATGTATCAGACGTGGCACACACAAAAAAAGGGCCTACTTGATGGGAAGTAGTCACCGTCGCCCATGCACATCTGCAACATAATGGATGTTATGGATGCGTTGCCAGCCTAGATTATGGAAGAGAGGAATATGGGTGGGAAAAGAGAAAGGGTTGAAAAAGGGAAAGGGCAACCGCTCCTCTCACTAATCGAAAGAAATGCGGCCATTAACGGCTACTTCACGCTAACCTTCTGTGAGAGGGTGGTACTTCACCGGTTGAGCCAGCCCATGTTTGATATGTAGTAACTGACCACAAATAGGCTCTACCACCTTTTACTTTAGCGGTAGTTGTTTTTCGTTTTCCTTCTACTAAAATATAAACATATAAGAATCGGCTAATGTACCAAAAACCACTGAAAGTAATAACAATTAGAGCAATATTCGTTTCCGTAACCAATAAAATAAACCATTACTCTTCAAAGGTAACGTTAATGTCAGTTCATATAAGCTGGTTAAAGTGAGACCCGCTGACTCTCGGGAAATATTAAATAACTTTGGCTATGAAAGTGATTCAATTAAGTTCTCTAGCACATTAACGTGTCTCGCAACTAGATGTACTCTTTTTTTGCACTTTGTTGTCAACTACACATATACATAAACAAAAAAACGTATCTAGAAACAATGAATTTTTTTTTTAAACCTTTTTTATATCAAATATGTCTTATTTTTCGAATACTACTATTTTTTCGAAACATAATTTTCTACAGGTACCCAACTATATCTATAACAAATTTCTCAAATTCTCCATCTTTATACATACCGATCTGTGTTTTTAACAAAAAAAAATAAGGAACAGGTGTAAGTCTTTTAAGTGACTAATCATCATTATCATTAAAGAGTTTATGATTTTTCTAACTATGATATCTTAGAGTGAGACGTTTAATATTTTTTATTTAAATAAGACAATTTTTCATGATTATACTGTTATGTCAATAATATTTAAAGTGAAAAATAATACTTACTATAATCTCTTTTTTCCACCATATAAACCTGTGTAATGAATAAAAATATTAAAGTTATTTTTTCATATCTCAAGTTCCAAGGGCCCTTTACTCTATTAAATTGAAAGAACTACTAAGTCTATAAGTCTCAACTAATGTAACTTATACATATAAATATATGTTACAGTTTACATACAGACTTCATAGAAAAACATATATATGAATATACATAAGAAATATATTACCAATACAACATTTCTCGGTAGTTTTTCCATCACAGAGGATAGAGTAAATACGAGACCTCCTCTCTACATATAACGTAAATCATTTTCCCCGTAGTGAATACACTTGACCGATTCCTATCAAACACTTTAGCAAAAATAACGGCATTTACTTTAATAAATTACTTAAATATGCTCTAAAACAATAATAGTGCTACAGAAAAACTTTCAACGTGTCAGTACATAAAATGATAAAAGTGTTCTTAAGTGTACATATGTTGTTATTATTTTATATAGTCTTTGTTTGTATTTTATGTCTTTTTTGAAATAAAATTGTAATTAATTTACTTAACGCTAAGATAACATCGGTTTAGTAAATAAAGGTGAAGTAGGAACTCCGCTCGCCACAAGCTGTACGATAACTTTGTGTTTAGATTCAGATGTAGCATGAAGTCGGTTTTCCATTAGATAAGTATAAAATAAATTAACTTATCACTTCTCTACAGACTCCGAGAGAGACAATAATATCAGGATGTTCAAGAGTTTTCTTAAACATTTTTTTCAACCACAGCAACTTTTTTCAGAAGTAAATAGATACTCTTAAATTAATTAATAAAATCCTTTTAATTTTACTTAATAGACGAAAACAAAACTAATATAACTATAACACAAAACAGAGCTAAACTCATGCACAAGATCTAAGATGTCATGTTTTGAAGTTCAGTAATCGACAGATCGAAGTTACCGTGACCCGAAGTGTTTAAACAATTTGTTCATTGTTGGTAACTTTTTAACTATTTAGACGTTTACTTCATTACAAATAGATTTAGACGAGAAAATAGACAGCCCTGAATAGATATAAAATACATATTTATACTCGTTTATCAATCGAGGTTTCTTAATTTCCAATGATTTCCATAACGTATAATGTTGTTCAGTGGTTGCAAGAGTTATATATTAAAGAAGTGTAATAAATACTATGTATTTAACATCGGGAAAATAAGAGAGAACAGGTTGTTGTTATTGGTCGTTCATCAGCCTCGGGCTCAGTGGAACCGTCACATCGCTGAGTGCTGCCTTTAGGGGCTTGCTCTAATCGACAACGTAAAACAAAACGTTATCTTTTTTCCCGATTGTAGTAACTTTCTTTTAACCTTTTTCATAAAATTTTATGTACAATTATATTACTGATTATAACTGAAGTATACATTTGATAGAGTTATTAACTTTATAACTTTATCTTTGAAAATTTACATACTGACTACAAAAGGGCGAAAAATATTTTTTTTGATTATATGAAGTCATAATATTACCTATATCTGTAAATTTATTTTATCGATGTTTTTTGTGTAAAATTTGATATTTGATATCAAATCTAATTTAAACATAATTTACAACGAAACCACAACAACAAATGTCAACATTCATACGTTGAAACCAAATGTATTTGACACATAAATCGCCGCTAACATGAACAATGATCGGCTCTTATTTCAATACTGAAATATTAAACTCAATACTGTCCCAAAGATATAAAGAGTACTTTGAATACACTGAGACTGCGGTGGCTGGACTTTGGTATCTCTGTCTGAACTACTAACTCTGTTATTCTATATCTGTATCTTTACTACCATCGATTTTAATAGAAAGAAAAACAACAGTTTAAATATATGTATATATTATGTGTTTAGAGCGGATTTTTTTTTTTAGTTTATTGAAATTCTTATTCTCGGTATGTAATCAGAATACTGTATAATATAAATTATGGATACGCTTACAAAATGTATCCTACGATAAATACCTGTTCGTATGTTTTTTGTTTTATTCACAATTGTGAGAATTTAAATTTTATGTTTTTGTGATATATTTACATATAAATGCTAATATTTTTCAAAGAGTCAGATTAAAATACTAATTGTTTCATTGATTTTTTATTAATTGGTAGAAATGTTTTCCCTTTATTTAATTACGTTACTTGATTGATTCCAAGTATATAAGGAAGCTAGTATAGTATATATATCTTACTCGTTTCAGTTTCATCATTTATATTATGGCATCCAGTTTTTTACGTTATCATAACCGAGGCTCTTTAATATACACAGTGCTGTACACCGGTTTCCTTCAGATGATTTTCCCCTTCAGTTAACAACGTTTTATGAGTAAGGAAGTTTTTATTAGGTGGTATAACCAATTCCGAGCTGCCCTCACAGTTTGATATTCTGTTCGCGTCGCGGACGGTAATATTTGCGAATTGTAAATATTACGACCGACTGAGAATTTCACTTACATCAAATAGTCATGACTTCATTGTTACAAGTTAAAAACGAACGAATTAATTTTTCAATTAGACTGTATAAGGAGCAAATGAAATTTCATATTCAAGTATTAAGCAGTAATGAAGTGTAATAAGCTGTAATGTTTATTAAATGTTTCAATTAGAATATAATTTCCTTTTTTATGTTACATTAACATCGCTTATTTGGAATACAAATTACTGTTTTGGTGATTTCTTGTATAATATTGAATAATTTTCATTGTTCAAGATACATATGAGAATAAATATAAGATGCCCAAATGGTTTTTATAATTATGTGCGGTAACGAACCATTTACTGTAAGCGGGTTATGATATTTTTTTATTTTATTTCTCAGTATTCGTTGTTGTGGTTGCTAATGACCGAGCCGTGACGTCGCCTAGCAACCGTTAGAGCTTAATAATCTCAATGCCTCCACGCATACACAAACATTTAATCAAGTCGTCATTAGGAATACACAACCAGTCATGTAACGATCTCATATTGTAGTATTTATTTATAGCAAAATATGTATCAAGTAATTTATCCAGGAAACTTACTTATATGTATATTATAATAAAAATTACATATTAAAACTTATAACCTATACCTAAGACTACATGATTGCACCGATGTTAGGATAGCAATACCATTCCATTGCTCGTATGGTATCAGGAATATTCTGGTTGTGTTCACACACACACGGCTTGGTGTTCGTTCCGCGGAGTCAGCAGCGTCACTCCGTATATTAAACATATTTTATCCACACAACGATGTTGCCCTGGTGATGTTCATTTATTTTTTAATTAGAATTATAACATAAAGGACTTATTATTAATCGTAGAATACATTGAGAGGTCCCATGAAATTGAACGCATTATAATTAAGGTACGTATGTTATAGGACAATATTAACTCTTAAACTTTCAACAGATGGTATCGTGAAACTGGAGGTGGAGTGCTTCGTGAGATCCGCGAGGGTGAGGGCGGGGGACGGTACAGCATGACGTCAGATGCCCTGGCTATCAGGCGAGCTGAACTGACTGACGACGGCCGCTGGGCGTGTCGAGCAGCGAACACACATGGCCATGTGACGCTGAGACTGCATCTGTCACTACGAGCACATCTGACCATACACGCCCAACCACATACACAAGTATGACTAGATATAAGATTTTCGCGAGTACTCATTTAAATGAAACTAATATTTTCGGATTTTTACTTCGCGTGATCACGTGAACCGTGATCACGGTTGCTGAAAAGTAGCCGAAACGTCGGGAGTATGTAGTTCATAATCAAAAATAAAAACGCGATGTAAAAATCCGAAAATATTAGTTTCATTTAAACAAGTATGCCTCTTGGGTTTTTATAATCTTAAACAGTAAAATAAATACGAATTATTGTGAGTATGTATCGATGTTTATGCTCTTTCACACAAAAAGTATATAGCGGTTTTAATGAGAGTTTCAATAATATAGTTAATAGACATCGGAATAGCATGTGCTATAATTTGTCATATATCTATGTATATCATCGTTCATAAATTTTATGGTCTGAAGTCAAAACAATTGTATTTTGCATGAACTATAAATTTTTTGCATTTATCTCTCAACCAAATTCGAAACCCATTGTTTTCGATGAAAATAGATTTTAAACTATTTCAATACAACAACAATAAAAGACAATAGATTTTATTTTCGATGAAAACACAAATTGAATCACTATTATCTTTCTGCTCGGAGTTTGGCGATTATTGAACATCCGATTGACCACTGATTGTATCCGACATACACTGTCTTGGCTCCTAAAGATTTTACTAAAAAGGAATCTACATGTCCACTGCTATACAAAGACGAAATCTAATAGAATTCCACTTTCATTGATATTTATTATATAAAAGTAATTATTTAATTGAAATAAGACTAATATTTTCGAATGACTTGGCTTTATTTTATTAGTTTAAAAAATATACTCCCGACGTTTCGGTTACTTTGAAGCAGCCGAAATAACGCAAAATAAATCGATATAATGCGTAGTAATCCGCATATATCTATTTTATTGAAATAAATACTCGAGAACGTCTTACATAGATCTCATAAATGATTAAATTATAAAGAAATAATATTTTAATCTGAAACGAAATAAGGTTATATTTTAAATATTATATAATAAAATGAGATATTTTGAAAGTCACTAAATTGTAAGAAACATGTGCATATTCTTCTTCTACCTGGCAATTTCCCAGCTATAGCCAGGGGTCTGCCTTACATGTTCTGAATAGTTTTGGCTATTTGTTTTTACGACCGGCCGCCTGCCTGACATCAACCCTCTTCTGGGAATCAACATTAATCAGTGATGTCTAAATAGTCTTAGAAAGTACATATGACTCGGAAAAATCACATTGGTACTTGCCCGGGCCAGGATCGAACCCGCGCCCTCGGCAACGAGAGGCGGGCCTTTTAACCACTAGGCCACCACTGACTAACATGTGCATATTATTAGGATATAAAATATAGTTTAACATAAATGATTAAACAGCTTAAGAAGATTTCATTTTAAAATTACAATAATCAATATTTTTGTGATAAAAATAATAACTAATTAACGGTGAATATATTTACTATACATTAATTTTCTCATTTTATCTTTAAATTTCCGCTACTTTTGCTGACATCGATATTGATTGATTTCGTATTTTATATTCAATTTTTTTTCTTAATTTTATTTTTGTATCTTTAAACAGTGTTTTAAAGGAAAAATAAAAAAAAGGACTTTGCCGTTCTGTAATTTTCTTCTAACAAGAAATATTTTGTATTTTTATAGTTTTATATTCGGTTTGTCTTGGTGTTATAAGTCTTAGTTATGTAACTGATCAATTACAAACTTAGTATTAAAATTATAGTCTCTTACGAGTACATCACGAAATATTGAATAAATACAAAATTCATAAAAGACCTAATGATTTGTTCAATGTACGTTCAGTTCATTTAGTCATTATTTAATGGATAAAACTGGTTCTTTAATAAAATAAAATTCATTAATAAAAAAGAAGAGAATTTAATATGTTTTTTGAAATAAAATTTAACAAGTTTAATAAGCCATTGAACGAGTTTCTGTTGATAAAAATATCCGTCGTAAATCAGAAATTCTATTAAATAAATATAATTAATGAATTCCACGTACGTCCCAATCACCCACAATACGTGACCGGTCGAATGACATGTTTTAAATAGTGCGGGATAAATTTGATTTCCAATGTTTATTTTTGTAATACAAGCCACAACATGAATTCTGTACATTCGCGTTGTTTCAAATCAGTCATATTTAGTTAACAGACAAAGTAAACACGGAATGAAGTGACAGCTTCGTTTTACGGCATGTAAATTGATTTTTTATGAAACTAAAACAAACATGTAATACATACATATATATTATAGATTTACTTTAAAAACCTTCCATACGAGTTGTATTTGTCCTATCTAGTGTAGTATTTTGAAAAATGACAAACGGTTGGCCAACGGTGTCCCCGTTGTTATTGTTGCCATTTTGGAAATCTTCATGTCAGTTACACATAATTTTTAAAGCCGAATCCGTTGCTTTTCACAATCACAATATATTTTATAACAATATTTGTAAATTAACACTTATTCTCATTTTTGTAGCATGTATTCAACAATAATATACTACATGTCGTTTAACACATTCCATAAAAAAAAACTCCTAAACATAAATTTTCACTTAACGGATACTCACTGGCACTCGTGACCTATATTGTTTAATCATACGCCAAAAAATCCCTATTTATGAAAAAGAACTAACACTCATAAACTGCTGGACCGATATTTACAAGACATGGTTAAGAGTTCCTAAGCTTAAACCGACTTTCAAATGAAAAATATAATAAATTGGTGCAACACACACACACACACACACACTTGTTCACACATACGAGGTTGTAGACATCGAAATAAAATAATGACACCCCTATTCTTGCGTCGGATTTATAAAGCAGATTAATGGTATTATATAAAAATACGTTGGACATTCGTTCTTCAACTGTTGTTTTATTACATAAAAATGTTTCTGTAACATTTTGGTTACTTGATATTTTTCTTTATCCTCGATATAAATATGTAGATAGGTAAATACATATATCATTAATATTATGGATATGTATTTTGGGTAGTACAAGGACGAAGGGTCTAGAATTCTAACTGATAACCTAATATAAGATTATTATGTTAATATAGTCCTCAAATCACAGTTCCTAATTCATATTGGTAAAAATGGGAACGTTCAAATTTAGGCAAACACTCGACATTGTATTTACAAGAATCAAATATTATGGAACTGACCTAATTTGGAAGTCAAATCTAATATATAGGGTAGGTTAGGCTAATGATGTATAGTATACCACAAAAATGGCTAACTGACAACACAATTCCATTTCTTGATCATATACACGAACTAAACAATTTTTATTCGATCTTTGTTATTTACTCCTATATAGATATTTTATTAGTATAACAACATTTCGCCAATTCCTACTTCTCGTACGAGCGGATACTTGACTTCCGGAACCCATTACGAAGGATCCGGTCCGTGGACATGATTAGGTTGGATTGAGCAAACATTGTAAAGAACGTCCCTCTACATTAAATTTCTCCAGTTGTATCTAATAACCGTTTCTTTCTCACGGTATAGAGTATAGACCATCATCAATACAAACATACCAACAACACACAAAACCCAAGTATATCCAATATTGCTTCCTCAATGTTATTTGTAAGTATTATTAATAGAAAGGGCTTCTATATAACCTTTACAAAGCAGCCTTCCTGATTGTTAAAGATTGAAAAAGGTGACGTGGCCAATCGGACCCAACCCTGAGTCGTCAGCCTTTACCCTTATAAATTGCAAATAAGATTGTTTCAGACCTCTTGCTACTTCCGCAGTTACTGGATTTGATTTAAATTATTTTATTTGGATTCAAACTACTGTAATAGAAACAACTTTCAACAATTTACTTCTCGTAAATCATTAATAAATTAATTAAAGGTATCAAAATAAGAACTTGGGAATGTTTTATTTAAATCTAATTAATTTTCTATAATCAGGATATACATGTAATTTAGATTATAATATGAAATAACATAATATTGAATAATTAATACGAATACAACAATAAACTATACAAATTAATGAGATAAAACCCATTTTCACCGAGGTTAATTTAATGTGTACACAAATTTATATGACCAGCATTTAATACGCGAATAAACTATTATTTATCTAAATAATGAATAGAAATACAAAATTTAATACAGTAAAAGAATTATTTTTGTAAATAGGCATGACCTGATTTACATTAAAACAAAGTCAGACTTTCTATCATGGCTCTGTAAGCTTTTGTATAATTCCCTTAACGGCTGTATATAATTCTCTACGTATGTCTATTTTGATAATTCCTGCTATAGTTTTATTTTCAGAGAACTGTTGATGGTAATTAAATCCACGCCACACTGCTTTTCTTTTAAATTAAAAATATTTTATTTCATGCACTCCGCTCTATCTCTGCATTCGCACTTGTTTGACGTTTTAATTAAAACCCCTCTGACTTTGAAGAGTATCCTTTTTTATGTTGCTTTGTATGTTCATGTAGGTAATATTTTAAATAAAAAACATTCCTATTAAACATCAAATGTGACTTGAAAAATAATTACTATAATAATTCACCATTTTATATATATGTGTTGCGATAAGCTAGTTACTTTTTGCTATTGTTGTTGAAATTGCTATAAAATGTATAGACGCGTCTTGGAGGTTTCTATCTATATGTTTAGAGGTACGAGTATCATCCTTGTAGGTGATAGCTTTCTAGTCAAAAAGCCACAGTCGAAAAAAAACGAGTGTCTTCGTGTTTCTTTACCAGTGGCGATAAAAAATATTGAAGTTTACGAAACAGCAATCTCGTGAAGTGAATATGCAGGGCATCTTTTCACCGATAAGCGATGGTGGTCCAGCGAAAATACATATATTCAAAGAAACAATTCAAACTTAAGTCCCAGGAATGACCACAGTCGTAAAACAAAAGTAACAGCATTTGGAAAATTCAACAAAAAATAGAGAACACAAAAAAATACTATAATTCCCAAATCGTGAATATAGTTCCACGATTTGCAGATACAGATATTGTAACTTTTATGACTATCCCAATAAAGGCTTGATTAAGTTTCTGTCTTACAGAATTTGAGTCTATTTGTTCGATTCTTAATAAATAGTGTGATGGAGAATAAAACACACGAAAGCTTATTACTTTAAGCTGAAGTAAAGCTCAAAAGGAGGATTCAGTCTATAACTTTACCTCTACTTTTGAATTTCGGTACAGAACTGCACTTAGATGATAAAAGTTTTTTTTTACCCATTCAAGCCCTAATATTTTGTATATATGTATGTTTAAGCGTTACAACAAACATATTTATATCTCTGGACCCATCGCTAGATAAAATTTAATTAAGTAAGGAGTACAATTTAAACTAACTATTCGCTGTATTCATCAATGAAGAAAAATAATGTCGGTTCTACTCCAATAATTTTATAAAATAGTGTAATAAGCACATCCCATTTTAGTAAGTGCACTTCATATAAAAAAATGCATCTTGGGTGAAGCTATAAACTTATTCAATTGGCTATTTCGAAAATTCATTTTAGTATTCGAGAGTCTGAACCATTTTATTTTATTATTTTTATACCCAAATACGTTATAGATGAACGAAATATAAAATAATATATATAAAATTAAAACATACTCATTGAAATAAACCTTCTCTTCACATTTTTCTCCTTTAAGTTTTACTATTTCATTTATTTTGCGGTAACTGAATACAGAACAAGATGAAAGTACCATTTCAACATTTTTAGTCTTGAATTTTCATTTTTGTACTTTTTTGTCATCTTGAGGCCATTAAACCAGTGTAGTTTATTTGCATTTTAGAGCTTATACTAGTTAAAGTCATGATTTTAAAATTTTTACTACTAAAACATATTAATTATCTGTATGAAAGGATCTAACTAACTAAGAATGAACGTGTACTCGTGAAAGTCATAGACGTTATAGCGTACACATTATCATCTATGTGGCAACTTTTAAATATATTTTTAAAGGAAATTTTTTTATTACAATTTAGGTAGTAAATAGCGGAGGTACGGCTATCATAAACTGCACGTGGGCTGGTTGGCCAACTCCCCGCTTAGAGTGGCTTCACAATGGCATACCTCTGTCGGCTGGCGTCGCTGGAGGCAGAGTGCGAATACAGAATGGAGGAGAACAACTTGTTATAACATCCGTCCATCGAGCTGATAAAGGAGTCTATCAATGTGTAGCTAGGAACGAGAGAGATTCAGCTCAAGCCAGCGCCGAGTTGAGGTTAGGAGGTGAGATTGTCTTCTACTATACCATTAAAAAATTGTATTTTTTTTATATGTCAAAGTTGGAAAATGAGTAGACGGCCTACTTGATGATCAGAAGTCATCGTTTCATATGATAGTCACCGCCGCCCACGTACATCCTCAATATCTCTCTTTCCTACCGGATAGGGTTGCAACGCATAGTTGTATAAGAAGAAGGAGATATATAAAATAAAAAAATCTGCAACATTTCTGTTTGAACCAGGGAAAGGTAAGAATCGGCTCTCATCGCAGCCCTTAAAGACGGCTTCACACCGATTGAACTGTGAGAGGGCTACCGGCTTTCAACGGGAAATCGGTAAAGAAGCTTCTACTACGATTTCTGTGAGATGGTGGTACTTCCCTGGTCGAGCCAGCGTATGTTCGTTCTATAGTTTCTTGACCACAACTAGGCTCTACCTCTATCTACTATTATACTCTCTCTACTATTTATATGACGACGTACAAAAGTCAACAAATGAGGTTTATATCCTGACGTTACTATTAAAATGTCATTTTGACTTAGATATACGTTTGATAATCTCAAGGCACATATTACTAATGCTACATCATATTGTACTATATTCGATCTTTACTAGTTTATTTCATGTTCTTCATAGACACGGCCCCCGAATTACAATACACGTTTATCGAGCAAGTGCTGAGACCCGGTCAAGTTGTAACCCTCAAGTGCTCGGCGGCTGGTTCCCCTCCACCACATTTCAGCTGGTTACTTGACGGGCAACCACTCAATACCATGGCCCGGGGACATAGGTAAGAGACACATATTTACCACCAATGATTAGCCATTTAACTTTCTTCCAATTTATATACATAATTGTTGTGTTTATATTCAAAAATTGTTAAAGTAAAGTCTGAAATAGTTTAGAGACAAAAAATATAAATATTTTAATATACTAAAAATTTCTTCTAGTATTACCAATAAAGTATTATAATCTATGAACATAACAACAAAGAGCAATTGTAAATTTATACTTATATTCATTGATTGTAAACAAACTTTAATCCAGGTACAGTATTGAGCAGTTCGCAACTAAAAGTAACGAAGTGGTGAGCTACTTAAACATAACCGCTGTACGCTCTGAAGACGGCGGACTTTACACTTGTAGAGCTGCAAACTCACTGGGGGAGATAGCGCACACTTCCAGACTTAATATATATGGTGAGGAAATATCAGTAAAATGACAAACTAAATAAAACTATCAAGAAACTGTAACAAGTTTTGAGCTTGAGGTTTTCATTTTATTGTAATAGAAACAAAATTTGTTAAACGAAATATTTTCGATCCACTTTTCTTTCATAAGTAATAAAACTTAGAGCTAGTTAATTTTTTACTAATTTCTTAAAAATATTAAAATTTAATTCAATTTCACACATCAATGGAAGTCTATGGGATTTAACGCACATGCGGATTTTTTTTTATTTTTTATTTATAAACTAATCATTCGGAAATTAAAATGCTTTCAAAAAATCCAATAGTACTACGCACTGAATAATTATTAACTCCTGTTTTGGGAGGTATTAGGTTATACAAAAAAAATTGTAAAAATAAATAAAGAACGCACACTTATTTAGAACCAATCTAAATCTCTTCTTTTTATGCTTTTTCATTATTTTTTTATTCAGGTCCACCGTACGTAAGATCCATAGGACCTATCAGAGCAGTCGCTGGCAGGGAATTGGTACTATACTGCCCGTACTCTGGTTACCCAATTAGGTTAGTGCAAAGAGTGATTTTTAGAAAAGTATATTTTATTTACTTTAATTTTAAATTTTTTAAACTTTATTGTTATATAACGCCATGTTGCATATCCATCATACTAAAATAATGTCGTTTCTTCTTATCTCACAAATTGTGACATTAAAAAGTAGTCAAAGTTTTAACGTTTTTCCAGACTGCTAAGTGGTAAAAGATTTTATGGAGTCAAATTTTATTTCATACAGACCCGGCCTTTGTAATTACTTCCATTATTTCTTATCTTTATGATTTAGGTCAGACTTCGGTGTAAACGTATTCTTTGTTAGATTTTTAAAATATTATGATTTCGTTATGGTATTTTCAAATTTATAGCAGCAATTTATGTTATCTTGCTGATACTTAATATTATTTTATACTTAGCTTTTATAATAAACTAAAGAAGTTTATTAGTATAGTTTATAGAAAAGATTTTGGCATAAGATTTTCTTATGTTCATGTAACTTTTATGTTATCGCATTGATATTTTAAAGAAATAAATTGTTAATTTTATTTTACATTGCACATTTTTCCTGTATTTTGGTTGATAACAAATGTAGTAACTAGTTTTAAAAGCTTTCTCTCAAGAGCAATCAAGAAAGAAAGAAAATGGCAAAATGTATATATTTAATAAAGGACTAGGTTAGATTAATTATTTTTCACTTCAGCTCAGTCAGATGGGAACGCGATGGAAGTCAGTTAGAGTGGGAGGGCGGTACGGGTGGAGAAGGGGCTCTGAGGATATCACGCGTCGAAGCGAGCAGCGCCGGGGCATATACTTGTAGTGCTGTTGGACCACACGGGGAAATTGCGAGAAGAGAGCTGCAGCTTATTGTTAGCAGTGAGTATCTGTTTAGTAGTAGGAATATCAGTTATTTACGTGAGGTCTAACAACTCGATAAAATATGTATAGAAAATATTCTATAGCATCAGAGAAATTTAAGAAACCCTAAACATTAAAGTCTCTGTTTCTATAAGAACTTTGAAGGTATATTTATATATACTTACAAAACGTTAAAATTTATGATTAATGGTCTCTAGATCCTCCCGAAATCGAGCCATTCTCGTTCTCTGCCAACTTACAAGAAGGCAAGCGAGCCCAAGTTAGTTGTAGCGTGGCCTCCGGCGATATGCCCGTGCGATTCGCCTGGCTCAAGGATGATCTGCCCATACCAGCTGACCTACAGGTATGTATGTTCTTTTTGAAGAACACTTCTTTTTTTAGACATCGAAAAAACAGCATACACTTTTTAATATGAACTCTAAGAAATATTGTACTTTACGTTTCACAATAATCAACGATCTGACTCAATGTTAAAAGTAATTATAAAGGTTTTTTGAAAAACTCCCACAAGTTTAAAAATACAGTCGACAATAATTGCTAGGTGGAAGAGCGTGGGGCAGATTTTTTCAGCAACCTCGTTTTCAAAGAGGTTTCAGCGCGTCACAGCGGTCTGTACACATGTGTTGCCTCCAACAGCGCGGCCAAAGTTAACTATACCGCGGAATTGGTGGTCAAAGGTAACCTCCTACCACCACCTACCAGCACCTAGACGCACGCTTGCACCGCACATTGGTCACGGGACCCTCGACTGTTCTAATAGAAGCCGTATTCAGCACCAGAACACCCCATTTTGCACTGATCACGCTTTCGCACAACCCTTGTACAAAGTTTCGGAAACTAAATAACGATATATTTATTTAATTCCATCACTCCGGGGAGGTTATTAGATTGTTTTAAACTTCGGGAATCAATCAAGATTCAGAAGTTTCAACGAGAGTATACAATTAACCCCGAATAACTTTGATTACAAATTTAAGTTTGAACGTTTTATATTTCACCGCTCAGTCGTTTAAGTATTTGGAAGGGTACTTTGCCTTTTGAGATTTCCTACACAGACAGTTATAATTAGATACATTCTATAATTAAAACTTGTCTGCTTTCCTCAAAATTGACTTTTTGTTTTTGTTTTGCTCGACATTGGATTTCAGATTGCCTAACGGAAAGGGTAAAGTTCACATTAAATTTTAGTTTATAATAGATTATAAATAATATGTTAACCCTATATGTATATATATATATTTAATAAGAGATCGACTTTTGTTTTGTTGTGTGTCTAATGGTTTTATATTAGTTATAATGACATCAAAGTATTAAGTTTTATTTATAATGAATAGTTGAGTTCTATACGCGGACTATTCAGGTTTGTATACCTTTAGATATAAAGTTTCATGCTGCTGGAAACTGTAAGTATAGAGATAGAGATCGTCTCCAAGTCTATTATAATAATATCTACGGAAACTATATCAATATAAATACATATAGTGATAAAACTGATTTAAAACTTTAAAATAACCATCCACCTAAAGCCATAAAATCAAAATATAGCTTAAGCAAAAATTAAGTTACTGAGAAAATTTTATCAAATTCGACAGTATTCTTAACTTTTGAACTTTATAATTAAATTATAAAACTTGAATTGGAAACATTCTGTTTTATTTATAGAAAACCATAATTTAATTTTCATTGGAAATGATTACGCTCACGTATATTAATCATTGACTATAAATTTAGGTATGAGACCCTGACTCTTAGAATACCTATACATGACTAGTTTAATGTAATAAATGGAGTATACTTCTCCTACAGTTTCTCCCAAATGGCTTCGCGAGCCCATGGACGCAGCCGTATTAGCTGGGGAACAATTAGCATTGCACTGCCACACGACAGGATCACCCACACCACATACTACGTGGCTTAAACAAAGAGGTCAAATACGTTTTATTGAAAATCAATAAACATTCTTGAACTATAAAAGTAACTTTGAAGCTTCATTGTTTAGTAGCTATTAAACAGTTTTACCCTAAACAACAATGTCTATATGAGCAAAGACGACCTTTTGATTTCCCAATGATTTGTTTTCTATGAAAGTGAGGGTATTAATTAAAATTCTAGCTGGATCTGCATCAGACTTTGTACCGATCGTCAACCTGGGAGGAAGGTTTCAGTTTCTCTCGAACGGTACTCTCTGGATTGAAGCAGCCTTACCATACGATGAGGGTTACTATATGTGCAAAGCTGAAAACGGAGTTGGAACTCCGCTGTCCAAAACTATATTTGTAGCTATTAATGGTATGTTTATATTTATGTGCTTGCATAGAGCAAAATATAATGAAACAATTTTTATATAAAATTAATCAAAACAAGTTTAAATACAACTGAATGTATTTAAAATAAGTTTTGAGAGCTTATTCAATATAAGACATTAAAACTAATGTAATTATAATAATAAAATTCCCCTTTCCCTTGAGGCGAAAACCAGATTAGATATTAAATAATTAATAAGTTTGTAAAAGTCTTAATTGGTATGAAAGATCTTAATCAGATTCTCATAATAAAGTAAACTTTTAGATTCTAGAATTTTCACAAAAAATGTCTTTGCTTTTTGTTTTTCAACTACCGACACTTAATTGAAAACACAGCAGTTTTTAAATCATACTTTCATACGAGCTAGGGATCACAATAGCCAATGCTCAGTAAATAGATTGAGAACAAATTCGCTATAATGTATGCAATGATATGAAGTAATATTAATTGGACTACCTTCACAATCGAGATTAGTTTCTAAGATGTGACTCAATCATAACGACTTTATTTATAGAGCCCGCACGTTTCGAGATGACGTCACATAACGTGTCTGCCAGACGCGAGGCCGGCGCGACACTCGCGTGTGAAGCACGCGGCGATGCACCGCTGAGAGTCACGTGGTCAAGGGATAACGCACCGCTTGACCTCTCTACTTATAGGTACTTGTAAATAACACTATAATCAACAAAAACTACCAGATCATTAATCATCCTCTCTCTAATTCTAACGTAATTCCTTCATTGCAGATTAAGCATTTCTGAAGCAAAGACTGATAGTGGTTTAAGGTCCCAACTGTACATAAGCCGCACCGACCGACAAGACTCCGGCGTCTACAAGTGTCAGGCCGTCAATGCCTACGGTCACAGCGACCATTACATTTACTTATCCGTCCAAGGTACAAAACATCCTCTGTTTTTCTAAAACTCTAAGACTAAAATAAACTGATAGTAAAAAATTAATGACACACAGCTGATCCCTAGTATACATTTAAATAAAACCATGTTTTTCGGATTTTACTAGTGTAATTTTTTTACATTTTACCGGACGTTTCGATTAAATTTCATCAACCGTGATTACGGATGAAAAAATTTAAATCGGTCTCGATTTGTCGTATTCCATTAAAATTTGACAACATATGTACGAGTATATTTGTTTTAACTGGAGTAAAATTTCAATATTGTCGACATCTCCAGAGAAACCCGAAATGCCTCAGTCATTATCTGTGACTGAAATCCAATCACGCGCTGTCCGCTTGTCTTGGAGCGCGGGCTTCGATGGCAACTCACCTCTCCACGGCTACACGGTCCAGTACACGCCACTTAGTACTCAGGCTCGAGGTGAAAGATGGGAGAACGCCGCCACACTGAACGTCACCTGGGCCGAACTTGCGGGACATACACACTCTCACGTCACGTTAGTTGAACAATCTATTCATTTTAATTTTCAGCAATAGAAAAAATAGAAAAACCTACAATTTTATTGTAAAACTAAGAGATTATCCATGAATTCACTACGCCATCAAAAGGTCAATAACTATTGTTTGCTCATAAAGCATAGACCAACCCGTAACTCCTTAAAAGTAGAAGTGATAATTCTTATAATCAATGTAACTTTTATATATATGTATGTATTTATTACAAAATTTATGTTTCCATTTAATCTTTTAAGGCTCACCAAGAAAGGCGATATACACTACGAAGCATTATTGAGTAACCTGCGGCCGCACACAGCGTATATGATCCGCATCGCCGCTATCAACCAGATAGACCGTAGTGCTTTTACTGAACCAGTGGTTGTTAAGACACAGGAGGAAGGTTAGTAGATATATCTTTTATTAAAGCATGGACTATCCTTTTATAAACTTTAGTTAGTTACGAGATAATTTTTTCAGCCCCGTCCGAAGCGCCAAGCGGTGTGTCAGTCTCAGCCGGGGCGGCGGGTGAACTGCACGTCTCGTGGCGCGCTCCTCCCCGGGACGCATGGCACGGGGAGTTGCTAGGGTACTCTGTGACTTGCGCTGAATTAGGTCCAGACTCTGCTCCGATACCCAATGCGACTAGGTACCTTTACTTAATGATATTCTAAAAGGCTCAATGAACCGTTATTATTGATACTTTTTTTTCAGAACTCTCACAGTTAATGGTTGGTCGGCACTGAGCTGACTCTGTCAGCGCTAAAGAAATTCACTCGATATGAAGTACGTGTGCGTGCTTTCAACGGCATCGCGGCCGGACCTCCGTCTGTACCTGTCACTGCTACAACATTAGAAGGAGGTAATACTGGCGCTCCTAGCGATGTAAACAATTTTATTATTATTATTTATTTATATAATACATTACAAATTTCTTTTACGGTGTTACAAAATCCCTGTCGGATTTATCCGTACACCGGCATTCATTGAGAGCACTCGGAAGTTTTAGTACATAAATATACTAGCTATAACACTATAAACTACATAAGATTTTGAGTAACTGATGTTTGTTTAATTATAACTCACTAGCTTTTGCCGCGGCTTCGTCCGCGTGAAATAGTGACTTCCGACAGATTTTTGGTTCTTCCCACATAGTTCCCGTTCTTGCGGGGTTTTCGGAATGGTTGAGTTCCCGTAGAATTTTCAGGATAAAACGTATGTTTTTTTTAATTCACAATGAAGTACTCTTAACCAACAACATATTTATTTGTTTATTTGAATAAAGATTAATATTATTATGTTGATACAACTTAAACAAATTATTTCGACAAAATTAGGTACCATAAAAACGGTTTTTGTGAGTTAATCTTAAAAGATAGACATTTACTGTCGCGGACTGTTTTTTAGATCATTAAAAGAGCTATTATTCTTTAATACATATTTTTTGTGTACCTTGAACCGTTTTCACGACGCAAGCAACGGAAGGCTTCAAAGATGAAATAATTTCTCCCGTTTTTTACACATTCACCAAAATATCCTTGCTCCTATTGGTCGTAGCGTGATGTTATATAGCCCACAGCCTTCCTCGATAACTGGACTATCCAACACAAAAAGAATTATTCTATTCGAACCAGTTGTTTCATAGATTAGTGCTTTCAAACAAACAAACAAACAAACTCTTCAGCTTTATAATATTGGTATAGATATGTGAGGGTATACGTTAAAAGATTTTATATTATTTTAATAATACCCTAGGTACTTAAGATGCGATACTCGGCCGGACGGTCATTAGCACTAAATTAACTTAATATATTATTGATATAGTTCCAGAGGCGGCCCCCAGTCATGTTTCGTGTTCCGCCCTATCATCCTCAAGTCTTAAGATATCCTGGAACGCGCCACCACCAGCGTTACGAGGCGGAATAGTTCAGGGATACAAGATTATATACGCCCCAATCTCTATCACTCACTGTTAGTATATTTACGAATTATAGTACTATAACTATCATAATTAGTACCAGTAGTACCACTATCATAAAAGTAATAATTGTGTGTGCTATAACATACACATATTCGTTACTTATATCCATTAAAAGATCATGTTGTTCTTGATCGTCCAACTTGATATAGTACATTCCTCACTAATCCTTCCAAACTTCTCAGCTGAGGGTGCTGAGATGAAGCGTGTGTCTACTACGGAGACGTACCTGCACACACTGCACAAGTACAGCAACTACTCAGTGCAGGTGGTGGCGTATACCGCAGCGGGGGACGGCAAGAGGAGCGCGCCCGTGTACTGCATGACGGAAGAAGATGGTAAGAACTGTATACAACTACATTGTGGTATATTTCTACATAATGAAATGCAACTTGTTTAACGCAGCATGCACGTAATATGAACATATACACAAATGTCTACATTGGAGTATGTTAAGTATCTTATATATTTAAACGTAAGAGAGTATCGTAGATATACGGTTTATGCGTCACCTTGAGCTTATATATGTACCTACAGTAAAATTTAAACTACTCGTTGTCTAATGTTGTGAAGTATAATTTATCGAAGAAACTACATAAATTTCTTAATAAATATAGCTTAGGTATTCTCTGAAAATTCTATTTATTTTTGCTAATAGTCCATTGCAAAAGTTCTGTACCAAGAGATATTAATGCAAAATTCTTTAATATTATTTTTATAGTACCCTCAGCTCCGGAAAAGATTAAGGCGTTACCATATTCAAGTGACTCTGTGCTGGTGAGCTGGCTGCCACCCTTGCACCCCAACGGTATCATATCATACTACACGGTATACTACAGGGAGGCTGGACGGTGAGTGTTACATATCGTCAATGCTAAGAAAGTTCTAGAAGAAAAAGATGTAAAATTTTCTGTAAAACTCTTAGCTTAATCTTTAGTTCAATATTTTCGGGACAGGTTAGGCAAGCACTCAACCTTCACAGTATCAGCTGATAAGTCTCCCGAGATGGAATTGATGTTTCAAGTTAGAAATCTGATGGAAAACCAGTTGTATGAGTTCTGGGTGTCAGCGACTACTGGCTCTGGAGAAGGGGAATCTACACTGGTAGTAGGCCAAGGTCCCAGTTCCAGAAGTGAGTTGATTCTATTAATGTTGACTATAGTATAACCACTATATTTTTAACCACTATGATACATTTGTCAGACTCAATTTTTTATGGCCAATAAAAATCTACTATATTTTATTCATAAACAATAATTGGATGGGTTTATAATACTTTTCAAACAGATATGACGTGTTAAAAAACTGCTACTACATACGAACAAGCTAATGGAATATGAAAGCATAAATTCAATAGTTATATAAAGTTTAATTATTGTATTCAATTCAGTTCCAGCTCGCATAGCATCTTTTGGTGGTACTATCCGCGTCGGTCCTGGTCGTGGAGCGTTACTGGCGTGTTTGGCTGTAGGGGTCCCTCCCCCTAGGACGCGGTGGGCGCACGCTCGAGCCCCCGTTACACATCACCGATACTATCAAGTTACCAGAGCTGGACATTTACATATTCGTGGTATGCACTTTTAGAGCCTCTTATAAATATGTCTTCTTCTATATTAAGAGTAAGGGAAGACAACCACTTTATAGTCTGTATATGACGGATGAATAATTCGCAAACGCATTTATTATCTTGAACTGTGGGTTGAGAAAAAAGAAGTTTTAACGTATTTTGAAACTTTCCTTAAATAATTTAATGAATTAATGAAATACTTCAAGAGGGTTGTAGAAACCGCTAACGCTAAACATCGTTATTTCAGAGGTCAACTCCGAATCATCTGGGAATTTCACCTGCACGGCCACGAACAGTATTGGCGAAGACTCCATCGTATACTCGGTTAAAGCAGAGAAGCCGCCGTCCGCGCCCGCTCTCTCCTTACAGTATACCACCGCTACAAGCATCAAGCTGCATTGGCGACTTGTAGACAACGAACAACCAGTCTTAGGTTGGTAATATGGCAAAAACTATTTTGGGCACTATAATTATATATCTTTAATGGTCATAAGCTTCAAATCTTGATATTCAAACTAAAGTACAAAAAAAGGTTTTAGAACAGAAAAAAAATCGAAATATAGGTACATACTTAATACAATTTCATTCTTTACAGGCTACATACTTCATTACAAACAAGCCTCTGAAACAGAGTGGACCAGCGTCGAACTTTCTCCGGAACAAACTTCATACACCATGGATATGTTGAGATGTGGAACTACTTACAATGCTAAAATACAAGCTCAGAATAAAATATCACTAGGACCACCGAGTGAGATACTGACTGCTACAACCAGAGGGGGGCGTTAGTTTCTTGTCTATCTTTTATTTATTCAGTGATATTTGAAACAAAATCAAAACAGTCATATGACTAAAAGTTCAAAGAGCTTTTGTAGTTATATTAAAGATTACTCAAAGTGTTAATTTGTATAATGTTTTAGGTCCAAAACCGCCCAAGCCAGAAGAGCACGTGCATACAAATGCGACGGCCATCAAGATTAATCTTTACGCCTGGAGGGACGCCGGCTGTCCTATACTGGGATTCAGAGTCGCTTACCGACGAGCGGGAGATGAGCATTGGATACAGGTGATATAGCAAACATTACAGGTTAAAAAAATCTAGACTGCTTATCCGAGAGAACTATATAGCTTCTTGTAGTCTGGTTTAGATTATTTTTCGTATGTAATAGAGTTATCTTATATCAGGCGGGTTCTGATTTGAATGCGGCTCGCCACGTAGTAGGAGCCTTGTCTCCAGGCGCCTGGTACGAGCTGGCTGTGGAGGCGTGGAGCGATGCGGGCAGTGAGCGCGTCACTTTACTGGCTGATACACATACACTTGCTGGAGGTACATACATAATATGTACAAGCACAACGTTTTCTTTGTTCTAAAAATGATTGGTTAACCCCAATGCACGTATAGACTTAAAAATTCTTTATTATAATGGTCTCATACATCGTACATAATTGAAGAATCTATTTTACGAAAATGTTCTTTTAAATCCTTAAAATCTGGCCTTAAACCTTCAATTCGTCCTAGAGTATATTATTAGCAGCTATGATTGATTATGTTAGTGACTACATTATTTAAACATACTAAAAGATATCTTCCTAAGCTTCCTCTAAATTCTTTCCTTGTTCGAGTACAATATCACCGTCGTTATTTGAACCTATTTATTTATTGTTCCAGGTCGTATCCCTCCCCTGCGCGTGTCTCCTCCAGCAGGCGGTGCTCGTACCAGCATCATGAGGACAGCTCTCGCGTGGTGTGCCGCGAGTGCATTACTGCTCGTCGCTGCGCTAGCTGCTCTGGTCTGCTTTTTACACGCCAAACGCAAGTAAGCTGTTCAATTTCCTTATCTTATTTATATAATACTAGCTGCGCCCCGCGGTTTTACCCGCGGATTATCAGGTCGAACATTTTTCGGGATGTAAAATAGCCTATGTGTTATTCCTGGACGTCAGCTTCCTGTATACAAAATTTTATCAAAATCGATTCAGCCGTTTGAGCGTGAAGAAGTAACAAACATACACACACACTCACAAACTTTCGCAATTATAATATTAGTAGGATGATATAATACAGATATAAACTTTCACCTAAAAATCATTTTATGAGAGGCAATAGTGGACACCTAATATCTAAATCAAACTAAAGAACAAGAAAAGTATTAAATGTTACGTAGTATAAAATTCTCAGTTCACTTCTATATTTTACGTCGTTATAATCATTTATACCTCAAGTAAATAATTTTAAGACCTTACTCATAAAACCATTGAATAAGGAACTTACAATTTTTCCCGCAACCATTATTGTTCACTGCCACTTAATACATATATCAAAATATGTATATCTATCAGTTTTAATATCAACTAGATGTCCTCTTAACCATTAAGATGGTATATTTAATATATTCCCTGTATTAATTATTTAAATTTCACACTGCCTTTAAATTTCCAATAATAAATTTATACTGTTTTTTTTTCAGATTTTTCTGTTTCTCTAACGACCACTATTTGAGGGACAACAGGAAACTAAGCGAAAGCAATGAAGCCGAGAGAGAAAAACTACGAGAAGGTCATAAATTATATTCATCTTCGTCAATTAACGGAAACGAAAAGTTGAATGATGATTCATCAGGTAATAGAATAAAATATTGTAATCAGTATCACACGTGACATATGATAAAAATTCTTTAATATGTGTATAAATATCTTCAATAATTCTACTGATTTCAAAAAACTTTACGATTATTGTTGCTCAATAACTGAATAAAATAAATAAAAGCTTTACTGCAAGTCCGATCTGTGAAATTTTCGAGAAAATACAGAGTAAAAAAATAAAAAAAATCGCCTATATCTTATTCTAATGTCTAACACATTTTTGTAAATTTTACTCAAATTCCGTTAACTTACATATATCCAAAGAAACTTTCTAAAAAATAATACTACTAGGAAGCAGGATTATAATATTTCTTGGATGTAAAAAAAAATATTGAAATATTAAATTTCAGCTGAATTGTACGAGATAAGTCCATATGCTACTTTCGGCGGCGCCGCGGCACATAGTCTGCAGTTCCGTACACTGGCGCGCCGAGAGACGACGCAGCGCCGCCGCATCGACGACGGAGGCGCGCGTGCGACCACTATAGATACGGTATAAACATATAAACTCACTTAGCATTCTTAATATTATTACAGTGCACCCTTAATATAATTATTATTATTTATTTCATTTATTCAAGTTACAATGACTCAATTAAAAATAATACATAAATTGTTAATAAAAATAATACATAAATTGGCTGACTATAATATAATTAATTAAATGATTTTAATGGGCTACATCCGCTCACCGCTGTGAACGTATGTAACCACTTCCGAACAGTTTTTTACTTGATTTAAAGAACAGTTTTACTAAATATAACGAATATTTTCTTATTTCCCTACGATTTGTTATATCGGGGTTGCTCTGTATTTATGTTAGTAGGAAATTGTACATTTATTGAAGTTAATTCGGCTACTTTTTGTCTGCTGATAGAATTTATTATGTAACTGTATACCATAATATTGATTGTATTATTGCAGACGAGTCAAGTCTGTCCAAGTGTTCTACTGTTGAGGCTCGTCACCGTCTCCGCGCTGCGCCCGCGCCGGCGCCGCCTCACTGGCGAGAGAGATCTGACTCTGATGACTACAGTGACAGCGCGGCCAACACCACTACTAAAGGTACCTATAGGACTGTTGATAGATGAACTTCGGGAAAAAGATTTATACGACACTTTATCATTAATGGGACTGCGCGGAAAACACCACTATTAAAGGTACCTAAAGGACCAGCCCCTTAGACTGTTGATATATGAGCTTCGGGAAAAACATTGACACGACACTTGGTCCGCGTGGAATAGTTATGTTTTTTTTTTTAAAAAATAAAAATTACTCCCGACTTTCTCGAGTATTCATTTAAATGAAACTAATAATTCGACCGTGATTTCACGGGCGGTAACTTTTCAGCAACCATGATCATGGACTGACGAGAGGTGTTACAAAATGTTCGTAATAATCCGAATAATATTACTTTCATTTAAATTAATAAAACATTGTAATACAAAACGCTTTACAACATTCATTTATATTTTGCAAAGCTGATTAAAATTAATTTTAACGTCTTTTAAAGACACACAGTATTCTACATAGTACGTAGCTTCAAACAAGCTATCATTAATCAAGCTGTATCGATCTCCACCAAGCTATCATTACTTGTCCAGGTTCCGGCGGGTCGGGTGGTGGCAGTGCGTACGGCAGCGGTCGTCGCACCGCCAGCAGGTAGACCAGGTACCACCCCACACCCACATCCGCGCCCCTCACAACCGATACACTCCCAATAACATGCACCATAGTGACACGCGATATAAACCATATGCATGACTTGCATCTCACGAGTGAGAAGGGTGTAATGAAGAGGGCTGAGGATTGTGATGATTATTCATATGAAGTGTTTTCCTTTCTATAATCATTTATTTTAAAAATATTTTCGAGCTATATCTGGTTGTTATTGCTCAATCAATTCGCTTCTAACACTTTATTATAGGCTAATGCAAGCGAAAGGTAAGTAGGTATACCACAACTCTCGGCTCTCTCATGTTCTTACTGTTTTAAATATTTATTAATATCAAGTATTGTAACAATATTTGTTTGTTATATTAATTTATTTCTTTTGACAGTGGTGGTCAGAACGGTAGTGACGGCCTATCAGGATCCTTCGCGCCGGTGCCGCCAGATATATCATCGTTAATAGACAAGTAAGCAAAGTTTGGCTAGTTTTTTAATTTTAAAGGTGATATAGCCTAGCTGTGATCAAATTACTCCATCTCGAACATGGGCGGGCTCGACCGGGGAACCTCGACCGGAGACCGGGGAACCGGGGACTCTCTTACAGAAGATCGACGTGAAGTAGTCTTTAATGGTTGCGTTACTTCCGATGAGAGAGAGTCAGTAGCCCTTTCCCTTTTTCCACCATTTCGTTTTTCCCTCTTTTTCGGACCTTTTCCTCCCCGTTTTCCCCTATCAATCCACAAAACCATGTTACGGATGTCCGTGGGCGACGTAACTACCTCCATCAAGGTAGTCGTCTGCTCGGTTGCCCCCTTTAGCAAAAAAATAATGAAGACATGTGAAAGGGTTTAGTCTTCAATTCTACATAATTAACTTGAACGTATGTTAGAAATCCACCAGGAGATCTTAATACATATATGTTCAAAATCTACCAGTGGATCTGAAGATATGTTTAATAGTCTTTAATAGTCTGTAGTCCAGTAATAGACCTGTCCTATCTTCCAGGTACCAACAGAGAAAAGAACAGGAACGTCGGGAATGCACGATACACGTCTAACATTCCAGGTCCATTTTCAGATTTTATAAATTTAGCGAACTGATAACGAAGAACTAAGAAAACTTTTACCTATAATAGATAGGGTTTTGATGGAACAAGCTTTTGCTTCGGTATTTATCGTACGTGATGCCATTTTTCTCAGAACTATCGACCCCAAAATGATATGATTTATAAAATTTTCTGACGCAAGCGTATTTTACATTACAGTTCATATTATAGAAAACTTAACTGGACATTTCTATAGACTTAAGTAGGTTTAAATGTTACAACTGCCCAAAAATGATTAAATAAGTGTCATTGCTTTTATAAGACCTCCTATAATTGGTTATAATTTCTTATTTTTTTATATATGATTATTTAATAAGGGAATCATCAATTGTTGTGGTCAATTTTAGTATGCGAGATCTCAGACTTTTCGATATTTTATCTATTATGTTTTTAAAGTGAAATTTTGTACTGTAGATCTAAATTGCTCTAATATAGTGTGCGTTACATTGTGATCTCTTCTTTCGACTCCCATAGATAATTGTTAAGGATTTGTTATATAGAGAATATTTATACATAATGTGATTTATTTAAACGCTGTTAATATGGTTAGATTTTAAAATTACCTGTAAATATTAGGAATGAAATTGTTTGCTGTGAGATCAGTCATTAAATGGCATGCCTACTTTAAATGCGTATTTAAATATTGAAACAAAATGTGATGTTTATTTTTTGGAATGTATCTACTTATAAAACAAAAACATTAGCAAATGCTATACCTATCATTTTTTCAGTAAGACTTCTTTATGCTTGATTTGGGGAATAAGCTGGTGAATATGTGATGAGGTCATGAAATTTTGAATTTGTTGAAGCGAATGGAAGTTGAGAGGTAGATATAAGTTGATAAATAGAGAAAAAAAGATAGAGATACATAAGGTATGTTACCGTTTGGACAAGTCAAACAGGCACCAGCAAATTTTTTTCTCTCTTTCTCTCGCAACCAGTTACATATATCTAAAGGAAAATATGTACCCTAAAGAAGAATAAAGAGGTTTTACTTCAATCGTGTTTATTAACGCACACTAGCATTTTTTTTTAAGATAAAATTTTACGGATGGTGCCGTAACAATGGATTTATTATCCATTTTTTACAGCCTAGTATAGCCTAATTATAAGTTTGTGCTTGTAATTTTAATATATTAAAGAATTTTTGTTAGCCACTATTAAAATTACTAAAATTATGGTCAAAACTTCCTGTTGTTCATGTAAGTTTTCATAAAAAAATAACGAAATCTCACAGCAGACGAATATTGTGTACCTTTAAGATACATTGTGTGCGAATGTTAAGTCAGGATCTAATATATTTTATGTTCTTATATCATATTTTGTATAAATTTGATTTTATTCTATTAAAAATTTATTTTAATAATTAAATAAATAAAGACTTATCTACAACAAAGCACACATTGTATCTAATTTAATGACTAGTTTGTCACTAAACTTGGGTAATAGATTTTCTTTGCAATTAAAAAACTCGCTAGTTTTTATATATTTACAACATTCAGTATCGACTGACAATGTTGCCATTTCACAAAAAGCTTATCCTTTTGACGCTGCAAACAAGTCTAGTGACTCTTAGAATAAATCTTAAATTAAATACGGCTGTTCCAAACTGCAAAAGATACATATCATTAAAATAGACTGCTAATTTATAAGTAATTCATACTTAATTCTTTTACTGTATTGTTGGTAATGATAGTTAATTAGCCCTTATTTATACAGTATTGTATAAAAATCTTTCTATATACATGTTGTATAACAAAGTTATTGATTTAATATTAGGGCAAAGAGTGGAATAAAATTGTGTGTCGTAATATTGTTTTATTTACCATCCAATCCTAAATCGATTAAAATACATATTTTGATTATTGAACAGATTACTCTTTTTTAATGATAAAATCGGTTTTCAATGTCTAATACGTATGTATGTAAACATAAATAGTAAAAATCTATAAGAATAATAAATAATAAATATAAATATCAATTCAATACTATTTATTATAGTTTTTTTTAAATGAGATTTTAACTAAATAATATATTTTACATAACGGTTATTTTGCATACACAAAATTAAAAAGCAACATTTTTATATCATTCCATTCGTGATACTGAAATATATTACTCAGGTAATCACAACCTATTAGCAATATAATATATTTATTGTTAAAAGGTTTTTTCTTTTAATGTATTTCTGTTTTCAGACTTTTCATTGTTTCACATAATTTTTATTAAGACATATCATTATTATAATGCTTTATAAGGATAATATATTATTTACAACTAATAATACAAAATAATAAAAAAATATAGATTTGATATAATGTTACCTACAAATTGAAACATTTACAGTTTCTATTATTTACCTTTGACGCGCTTTTTGAACAACGTTCCTACTATCTAAGAATAACATAATACAAAGGAATATTGGGAATTGCGATCAATGGAACGTATTTTGATACGTTATATTGTTGAATCTTAAAATTACATTAAAGCTACTTTCTATTATTTAAAGAGATATATATGTCAATATGATGTTAACACTCAAATAAGTATTCAGATAACACTATGTCAATCAATAAATAAATCTGACTTTTGTTTATCGTAATATAACTTAACGTTCATGCTGGCAACATTATGTAATTTACATTAGTGTCTTCTTTTCTGTGGTGCGAGCGTGTTGTTGGTTCATGCATAATTTCTAAACATTTTTTCCCAGCCCCTCATAAACCGTACATTGCTATCAATATCAGTAAAAATATTATATTTCCTATAACTTATCAATTAAAACTGAACAACAAATGTCATTTAGTGTGTTATTTTGATTCCTTTCAACGTCTATTGATTTATTGTAAGCCAGTGACCTGTTTTTCGTATTTGTTATGTGAATCTCGTAAATAATTAATAGTTGTACTTAATAGTAAGTGGGCATTGTTGTTGTCATTAGTTTTTGAGAGATGTAATGAAGTAATGAATATGACAGTTTTAAATTAGGAACATTATTTACAAAATTTTTATTTACTATAACTCGGATTATTAGTTATGGTTTTTCTTTAACAATGATGACGCCTATAGAGGAGAGAAAAGATGAAAAGGTATGTATGAATAGAATAGTACTTAAAAGCTTTATTTTTAAAGTAATTGAACTATATTTAAATTATGATCTCTTGTTATCCCCTGCTGAGAAATTTATCTTATCGTAAATATTGTAGTCTTGATTTTAAAATCAGCGATAGCTCATCTCTATATTTCGATATTTCTAAGAAGCTTTTTAATATTTCTGTGATTTATTATATTCCTTTAAATGTCTAGATCTTAGTATTTTTATTATTTATTTTATTTTGGACAGAGTTGCTGTGCATTAAAATCAACCTTTTTAAGATAATTCCCTTTTTTAATTTAAATTATTGAAACTAAAGTAATATTCATTACTTTTTATTGTCATTTTAAAATATAATAGTTTTAAAAATGATTTTTCTTTATTATTCTATGATTCTCCTTAATTTTAAACAAGTTACTGAATCAATACTAATTTCGTAATTATTTGACAGGATAATGATACAATTATTTCTCACTAGTCCTTATTATTATTTACAAATACATATGGTTTATTTTAAAGCATCAAGTCTGAAGAATAAACATAAAAAATCTATCTAGTAGAAAGTTTACTACAATTTATTTTTTCTGACAAGAGATAACATCATGTTTTTATCTCAAAGCAAAGATTATGTCATTAGTAAATGTACTTAACACAAAAACTTCACATTTAAGATGTCCAGAATATTGTACACAAAAATATATCACTTTGAATTTAATCCTTCTATTTACTTTAACATATATTCATCATTAATTTAAGGGTTAGGTTTCTTTTTCCACTTAAAAATATTGTGGCTTATCCTTTGTTGAAAAATATAGAAAGGAGATATAAAGAATAAAATATATATAGTATACAGTAAATATATCCTAGTAGAAGCCCCCTTCCTTAAATTTATTTAAATTTAATATAATAAAAATGTGTTATTATTCATTTTATCATTGTCTTCCTAAGAACACAATGCGTTTGGTGTACATAAACTATATATATATATATATATATATATAGTTCGACCTTCACCTGTATTTGTAACAATAACACCACCACAAGTGGCTTGACAATGGACTCCCCACCGCTGACACCTGTTGTTTAAACCTCTCATTAAAAAATATCCTAATGAAGTCACCACAAACATAAAAGGCCCATGAAAATGAAAAATGAATGAATGAATGAATTCATGAAAGCCAAATGGGCTTCAAATTATAGCATTCATTTAATCACATAATCCTCACTCCTCGAGCCTTTTGAATATGCATTTAATGTTAATTCTTATTTAAATCTGTTAGTAATTTTCTTTTTACACTCCATTTGAACTAAAATTATTCATTCTGTCTTTTATTTGCCAAAGTTAGTGTAATTAGACCAAATTTGTTAAATAAACTGGTTGTATATGCATACATATATAGACTGAAGAAAGAAAACAAAAAGTGTTTTGACCATATGGCCGTGTGCCGGACAGGCTTGAGTTAAGAATCCTTTTATAGTATATAGGTCACCGGTGAATGGATTGTAACATATTTGAGGTGACATTGCTATCACTACTGGAATCTTAAATTATAACTTAAAGTAAAACTGTTAATGTTAAATCAAGTATTCACAAAAAATAAAACTTGTTTTATTTTATGTTACTAAACCTTTTATTTTGTGTCTAATACACTGACCAACTTAAACACTAAGTCATTAATTAAATAGTGTCTTAAACCCTTATTTGTAAATTTTTTTCACCATAAATTTTGTTCTTGTTGGAAACTTAACAACAGTCTATTCTTTAAGTAATAACTAATGTATTATGCATCTATTAGGTGAGGTTTTTAAATAATTTCAAAACTAGACCTATCTTGAACTACTGAAATGCTTTTAAATGTACTCATGAATGTATACCAGCCCTTATTTGTATGTAGATCCGCACTGGCATGGTCCAGGTGTCAGACGGCAAGTCTCGTCCCCGAGCTGCCCGTCTGGTGCTCACTATGGAGGCGGTGACAGTACAACGAGAAGTAGTTGTACCACCACCCACCAGGGACAAGACCGTGCCACATGCTAGAGTTAGTATATACATTACTCTAGAAGGATTAATATATTAAACAAAGTTCATACTTATTTAAGATGATCTTATAAATAGACGTAGACAGTTATAATATTGTTAATTTTATCATCATTTAAATAACTTTTTTTGACAATGTTTTTTCTTTGAATTAAAAATGAATCCAAAATATAAAAAGCCTCCACAAAAGTTTATTTGTAAGATCATCTGATACTCGTATTATACATATGTGGAACAAATTTTTGTATGACAGTTATAATATTGTTAATCTCATTATTTGAATTAACTTTTTTATAACTTTAAAGGATTTTCGGCCGTGATTTTTCTTTGAATTTAAAATAAATCCAAGATATATTTTGTCCACAAATACTATGCTCCTTTATTTATAATATATATTTTAGGAGCGTATGGTCCAAATAACGCGACAGAAAGTTGGTGGTTTGGGTCTGAGTATAAAGGGTGGGTCGGAGCACAAGCTGCCCATACTGATATCCAAGATATACAAGGACCAAGCGGCGGACCAGACAGGACAACTATTCGTAGGAGACGCGGTCATTAAAGGTGAGATATTTAATACTTAAACGTACCTTATTGGAATTCATTTGCCATATAGAAGAATGTCATAGCCAGTAAAAAAATTATCTCTGAAAGTGTATTAATAAATTTTCGTACCTTACCAAGCTTGCTAAAAGTAAATCTGCGATGATACTATCATGAGTGAAGTCATTAATGAAAAACTGCATACTGTTTGTAATTGGTATAGTGGGACTATGCTAACTTGTGCTAAGGGTGATATGTTATAGGTACTTTTTTGGTCTCTGCTATAACTATTTGTGATATTTTTAGCTCAGTATCACACAAAGCACTGATGTTTATCAGATTTTATATTGATAGAAATCTTTGCGTGCAAACTTTACCACACTATATTATTTGTATTGTGAATGTTTTATGTCCAGTATTAGACTAAACGCGACAATAACGTGCTATTTCAAGCTGTAATTGGTACATTGCGTGTAATATACACTATTGACTTTAATGATCACCAACAACACTGGAGCTACGTTCAAATTCATCCAATTGAGTACAATTAAGAATGTAAAGCAGTGCTTGTCAAGCTATTTATAGACTGAGCTTTTTCATAGCAACTGGGTAAGATGCGATAGGTTTTATGATTGAGCTGTATAGGATGACCCATTTATTGTTTTTACTCTACCGAAGCTTATGTTCTAATTTTATCATTTTCAAAGGTAAACTCTAACTGTAATATAAGTGGACATAGGTGAATATATTATTTCAACTAATTTTACTTGAATAAATAAAGAAAAAGCGAAGTTATATATTTTTTATTAAAATATTAAATTCACTCTCCATATAAATGGGCATTGCTATATTTCACGTAATGCTTACCTCTCGAGATTTTGCATGTTTCATTTACATCGACCCTCGACCTTACTTTAAAATTTCTCTTTTCTGCTTTTGAATTTAAAATTATTAAATTGATATACATATGTATATATTTCTAGGTTAACAGAGTGTACAAAGGATTATTTTTTCTCATTACATTTTACAAATACAACTTAATTTTATTTTTAACCCTTTCCTTAAGATAAATCATGACTCCATTCTTACTTATAAAGAATTTTTGGGTTTGTTCATGTCCCACATAAATTTACGTAGTTTTTGGCGACTTTGGCTATATAGCAATAGTTTTTAACTGGGACTTTTAAATATAGAGCTCAGGTTTTCCTTCTATGGGGTATTGTTCATCTGTGTTCTAGTTCCACAAAGTAGTCATCTAACTTATTCCGATGGACTCTAACGACAGTTGGCGTTTCCTTTTACTGAACAACCTATACGCACACACAATTCAAATGTATTATGAATCATTTCGCGTGTTCTTTGTCATCAATGGGCAATGCCATGAAGAATTGTTCAAAGTGCCATCACCACGCTTTAACCGTAGAAAAAGCGGCGCTCTAGAAACGATTGTCATCAACATAACCTAAATGGTTTCCTTGTACTACTGTTCGTGCAACACTCATTGTTTTCATCTATATGGAAGATTTGGAATCATTCTCCATCAAAGTTTTCCCTTTGTGGTGAAACTTAGCCTGGTTCTATTTCAATTTAACTATGTAGATACATACGTCCGAATCAAATAGACTTGTATAAAATTTTTGTATGTCAAATTTGAATACTGGAATGAAAGAAAGATATTTGCTTATATACCTGTTAGTATTATTATAGTCCTAAAGAATCTCTTGAAAAAACAAATGAACAATTTCGCTATGAATCGTAAAAGCTTCTAACGACGAATAAGTTGAGACTAAATAAGAGCACAAATGACGTTTTGCTCTTATATTCGCTCTCTGCAACGTAAAATCACGACCTTGTTGAAATGGAACATCATTATGCATCACAACAACAATTGTGTACTCTCGACAGCATAAATTATATGGGCAGAAAAATGTGCATTAAATAATATTAAAAGATGTAATTTGTCGTGAATAAATGAAGTTTCTTCCTAAGATAACGTTATTTATTTATTCATATACTTATATATCAATTCTAATAATTAATAAAAATAAAGATTAACCCATTTGGCGCCTCTGTACGCAATTGTGTACACCTAATCAATTGAAGGTAGATAATCACTTTACTAACCTATATTTGTTTTTTTCGACTCATAATTAAAAATGATAGTTTGAGCATCAAAAAAATTACAATTTATGTGGGTATATTCATAAAATCTGTCACAGTAAGGTTATGAACTTCGCGATGTAATCGTTTATCGAGGTATGTTCACTGATACATTATTTTTTTTATAATACATAACCTAAATTTCAGATATATTTATGTTTCTTGTAGTCAACATCCTTATTCGTAAAATCAATAATAAAAGAGTATCTTACAACAAGTATTTACAAAGAAATCGTACTTGAAATACAACTGTACTCGATTGTGTACAGCGGCCGAATCTATATAACGATTGCGCTTATTGTTCTAGTATTTCTTTACCATGAGTTCGAAATATTTTAGCGTTCCTAACTGTTACAAAGTATCAGAGTCAATGCTGTTTTGGCTGAGAGTGACAATGAAGGGGATTACGACTGTTATACAGCCAGATCTCAGCATCCTTACAGATGAAGAGGAAGGTTTCGACGAAGACATTGTTACCGCATCTTTGCCGCGGGATGTGCCTGGCAATATTGAGTTTCTTAGAGCTAACGAGGACAACATTTTAAGTGACGATAATAGGAGGAACAATTGGCTGAAAAAGCAATGAATAGGCGAAAGCAGCTATGTCATCCTGTATGGCGTAAATGTTCCCTTACATAATCTTATAATTTTATAACGACTGAAGAAGGAACTGATATGCAATAAAGACAGGAGGCAGTTAAAGAACAACTCGGAGAACTTAGTCCCGTACAGATATTTGAATAAATGTTTGATGAAGAAGTTAATTACGAATGCAATTGAATATGCTAATCAAAATAGCAGACATACTTTTCAACTAGACTCCTTTGATTTGAATAGGTTTATAGGTATATTGATACTTTTTGGTTATCATAAAGTATCCAGGGAAGATTTGTTGGTTTATGTCAAAATAGCCAAACATATAATAAAAATATGGGGGGAGTTGATGAATAATACCAATCGATTGCACTGTATAAGATTGTTGTTCAGAAGAAAGTGGCGGTGGGTTCATTCAACATTACAAGGTTTGGCTCAAAATAGTGTAGAGCACTATCCGAAAAGGTTACAAAATGGTTGCGATGTGTTGTTTGTCAAACAAGAGTTCGTTGGCAATGCATAAAGTGTGTAAAAACATTATGTTTTGAAAACCAACGTTTTGAAAAATTTCACCTATAATAAGCCGCTGTACTCAATTGTGTACACCCTTCTCCTTAAAAGCCTGATTTTCTTTTTCAAATTTTTTTTTGTTTTTATGTTTATTTGACTCATAGGCAACATGAAAATAAATGATTTGTAAAAGTACTACTGCTGTTTTAATTTTGGCGGTTAATGGGTTAAGCATTAACTATGTACGCCAATTCTTAACGTAAACCTTTTTTTTTATTGTAACCTTTTTAAGTAAGTCTATTAAGTTTCTAGTGCACAGTAAATCTAATTAGGTCCGATCGTTTGAATGGGGCTAATTCAATTTATTATATCAATTATTTATGTTGAGGAAATATAGTGAGGGGATTACTTGTGATGGGTGTTGTATGACACGATATCACACTTGTAAGGTTTGATACTGGTAATATTTGTTTAACATCACATCGTGGGTGTTAAATATTGACATTGAGCACTATGTACAGAATTTATTAACGAAATATTTTGATTTTCTTAAATAAGGTAAAACAGAATTATTTGCTCTTATTTTGATCGATTTATGGTCAAATACTTAAGACATTGAAAATAATAAATCCACAAGTACAAAGGCATTTTAATTAAAAGAAAGAAAAGAAAGTTTTTTGTTTTTAAAATTAATGAACATCCTATCTAAATAAAGCTTATCCTTCAAGAAAATCTCTCAAACAATTGAAATGCTAACGAAGTTATCTGACGAAAGAACTCGAAGCAAACTAAGTGAATTATAAAATTATTCCAGTGAACGGTGAATACATAACGGCTTGTAAACACGACGACGCCGTCAACATACTGAGGAACGCTGGTGACATCGTGGTGCTTACGGTCAAACATTACAGGGCGGCCACGCCGTTCCTACAAAAACAAGGTGATTATTATATGTAACAATTCCACTGATGATAAGAGGCAAAACCTCTTAACATTCCATGGAATCATAGTGCGGGTGCTGAGTCCATCGTTGCAGGGAGAGGAGCTTCAACAGTGACTGGGACTTGCGACCCAGGTGCAGGTTTAAGGGGTCCCTACTAACGCGTTTAAAACGCTCACCTCCACTGTCCAAGATCCTCTCTCCACCTAACCAAATTTAAAAACAACCTATGAGGGCTGCCTTCGAAGTACGCTCCAAGAATAAATTAATGAGTTCTGGACAGTTTCGCGAAACCTACTTCGTATAGTATCACATTGAGAATTTTACAGTAAATCATGGGCACATAGTCTAAAATAGCGTAATTCTGTTTGGATCGTTTCCTAGCGGACGGAGCTTCAGACACGGACAGCAGTACCGGCGACGAACATCCCTCGCTACATAACAAAGTCGACGACAATTGCAACACAGAGAGGAACGCGGACACTAACGGCGGCTGGCAGGTTGGGTTACTTCATACTAGGCAGTACTTAGAATGTATCTTCCATAACAAATACTGTCATAATGTTTTGTTCGTGATTTTCAGAGCGCGTGGGGTGAGTCTGAAGAGAGTCGTCCTGGGAGCGCCGCGGGCTCCGCGCGAGGCTCCCGACCTCCGTCCGCCGCGGGAGACGTACAGACGTGGGTGGATGTAGTCTCCGGTGAGATCAATACATACACACTTATTACATTTACCTACATACAGACATGAAATTCCAGTCACTTTATATAATGCTATAGATTTTTTTTATGAGACCTTTCTCTAGCAAACTAGTAGACGGCCTATTTCATAGACAGTAGTCACCGTCGCCCATTGACATCAACAACATCTCTTGCGGATGCGTTGCCAACCTTGATTACGTCAATTTTGATTAGATTTGATCGTCACTTTTATAAGTTCAAATGTTTGATACTATATATGTTTGCCTTGTATTTTGTATCTTCATTTGCATCTCCAGTTCCCAAAAAATATGTCTATTAACTAATCCATAATTTTATGCTTTCAACAGTTCCTCTCATGATGGGGTACGTCACGAGATACGTGTTCGGAACTGACAAGTTACGACCAGGAGCTTTTGAGGTATAACTTTATTACATATCAAAATTATTTACGAATTTTTATAAAATGTCAATATTTTAATATTAACTGCCTAGAATTGGAACAGGTCCAACTAACTCTATATATATATAATACTACTAGCTACGCCCTGCGGTGTTACCCTCGGATTTCCGGGATATAAAGTAGCCTATGTGTTATTCCTGGACGTCAGCTTCATGTTTACAAAATTTTATCAAAATCGGTTCAGCCGTTTGATCGTGAAGAAGTAACAAACATACACACACACTTACAAAATTTCGCAATTATAATATTAGTAGGATATATTGTGTCAATACTAATTTGTGTACTAATTGTATTGACTATCAAAGGTTCGCGGTGCCAAGCCCCACATGACGTCAGGTGTGATCCACGTGGACGACCCCGCCGCCCTCTCACAGTGGCTCAAGAGCATCTCTGATAATATCATGGGCCTTACTAACCTCCAGGTACAGAATTCTATATTACTTGACATTGTATATATCACGTGATTTTAAAACACACTTTTTCGCTCAATATAACAATAAAAAGGCAAGAAAGGCAGCTCAACATAATCAATAAAACCCATACCCAATATTTTTTTTGAAAATCGAACGTCAGTACTGTAGTTTATTTTACATAATAATGTCTGTACAGATGAAGCTCTTCAACCGTCACCTGAGCGGCGGTGATCGTATAGAGTACATGGGCTGGGCCCACGAGGGACTGGTCACGGCCGCACAGCCCTGGCAGACCTACCGACCAAAGTTCCTCATGCTGAAGGGCACCGACGTCATGCTGTTCGACGTACCGCCGGTATAATAACCCTCCATATCTGTTCATTATTAATATGATCCGCTAGCGATATTTTATATACTACTAGAAGACCCGGCGAACTTCGTATCGCCCTATAATCAAAAAATATCTGTTACGTTTTTTTAATAAATAAATTTAGGTTATACTTTGGCCTCAGAGACACGTGGTGGTTATGCTATTATTAAATAGTCGCTCATATATGACGTTTGTATTTTTAACATAGCGCCATCTATTGAATACTTAACTCAGTCAACAGATAATTGTAATAATCTTCTTCTTCTATATATATAAAAATGGATTGCTGTTCCTTAGTCTCGCTAAAACTCGAGAACAGCTGAACGGATTTATCTTATCTTAGTCTTGAAATGTTCGTGGAGGTTCAGGGAAGGTATAAAAGCTGAAAAAAATTGATTCATTACTGGGAAAACCATAAAAACAGCCCTTTTCTATTTCCCATACATACGTTTTTTTTGACATTAGATTTGACAACTAACTAATATGTCAATCATTCTGTCGCACTTTAGAACACGGAGATTTATGGCTCACAGGTAAACTCCAAAAATATAAATAAAAAAACGTAATAGATATTTCTTGATTATAGGGCGATACGAAGTTCGCCAGGTCTTCTAGTGACAAATAATTGTCTTTAATACACAAATTATTTTGCAATAAAATAATATTGTGACCAATGGCGGCTGGTGGGTTATCGAACTGGTGGTGCATTTTACTAAAATATTAAAATTAGAAAATGCAACAAAAACCAATTGACATAAAATATGTTTTTTTTTATACTCTAATTAATGCAACGACATTTTTCCGAAGCGAAATGTTCAATCACCTATTTATTAAAATCGGGTATTGTTTGTATACAGGGTGACTGGTGAATTACTATCAATATTTAAGGAGCATACTCGGAACATGATTCTCATTCGAATTATGTAAAAAAAATAGGTACTTAATTTTTGACAAAATTTCCGTATAAATAAATAAAGTGTTGACACGTTCCAAGTGTTCCAAGTGTGGACGCGTGCGGCGGCGTGCTGATACAAAACCACGCCCCCGCTGCGTATGTGTGAGTGTGTGTGTATACCTAATCTGTAGGGTGTTCATACGATGCGTAATTAATTACACGACTTTTGGTTAACTTTACTTAGAAGTTTATTAATATTTATGTTATATTAATTTTTATTTTGTCATATATGATCGTCAAATATCACGTCCTCAAATATCGATAGTAATTCACCAGTCACCCTGTATATTTTTTTATTCAATACTAAGCACAGAAAGTGCATTTAGCAAGAGCAAAGTATTTCGGAGAAAAGTTTTGATTCTTTTCAATTCCAATTCGTCATACATCGGGTGCTCTCGGTAATCTTCGGCCGCTCGTGCGGCGCTCGAGAACCGACTCATTTTTCACGCGCCAGGCGTATTAATGCGTATCTCATACAAGATGTATTAGCAGTCCTCGTGCACTCGCCGAAGCGCACGAGATATTAGTTTAGTGAAGCGCTGAAACTTTTTGACTATAATTAGAAATTTAATTTTTTATAAGTTTTTGTATGTTTAGAAAATTTAAATATTAAAATCGTAATTTAAAAATAAAGATGATGTTATATTTTGTAATTTTTAAATCTTTTGAATTGGCGGTTCAGCGCACGAGTGCACTTAAGGTAGAGCCGCCACTGATTGTGACTATAAATTGAGATGTAAGCTATCTTATCTTTCAAGTTGGATTAAAATTCACACGGAATGCAAATCAAATTCAAAATCGGTTTAGTAGTTTAGGAGTCCATCGCGGACAAACACATGTCACGAAATTTTTATATATATAAAATATAAGAGAAGTCGATTATTAGTTTGTAATCGTTAACATCTTTCGCCGGTTCTTCTCAGGTCAGGATATTTACTTTTCGGAACCGGTGGTAGTGTCTCAAGTGACCATCAATAAGGAAGTGTAATGCTATATTGAATAAAGTTATTTGAGTTTAACAGTGTCATTTCGTATTCCAGTGTTCAGTGAGCGAGCTGTCCAAGTGCCCGGAGGTGTTGAAGGTGTACCAGACCATGTTCCGCACCGTCAAGGAGAGCGAGACGGTCGACTGGAGGCAGCACTGCTTCCTGGTGCAGAGCTCCGGAGCGCTCGGCGGACCCGGCCCGCGGTACTTCAGTGCGGACACCAGGCACGAGCTGCTGAGACTCGAGGCCGCCTGGACCGCAGCTGTCGTGCACGCCGTGCTCAGGCTCGGGGTAACACACACACACAAACACATGCACACACAAATAGGTTCGTTATAAGTAGAAATTCCGGACGCCTAGGACCCACACCAGCAATACATAGTATGACAACACATTTACATATATCATCGATGTGATGTCATTAAATATATCGATCGCACAAGTAACAGGAATTCACCTATATTCACTATCAAAACATAACCGAAACCATTAGATATTTCTGTGTAACTCATACCTCCCTCCTAGTCTCTAGTCGTATTTCCGTGTCCGTATGTTGGGTCTGCTGGTGTACACGGAGCTGGCTCTCAGCCGGTCGTCCAGGTGCGGGTAGGGACGGATGCACGAGCGGTACGACTCGTTACTTAACCTACACACACACACACACACACACACATATATATGATATAGATATATTCAATATGCGTACTGACGTGATATTAATACAACCATACATTAATTTCTGCGACCATGGATTATATATAACTAGCTTTCCGCCAGCAGCTTCGCCCACGTGGTTATTTCGCGTTTCCAAGAGAACCTTTCAAAAATCTGGGATAAAAACTATCCTATGTTCTTTTTCAAGGTTAACTCTATCTCTGTACCAAATTTTATTAAAATCAGTTTAGTGGTTTAGGCGTGAAAGCGTAACAGACAGACAGACACGAGATACTTTCGCATTTATAATATTAGTTGGGATAACTATTAGTATATAGTCTGTGTGAATAATATTGGCTACACAATCTCACTTGTACATCTCAGTAATCTCCAGAGTAAGTACAGTCGTGGTCCTTATCTTGTCAGGGTCGTAGAGAGCGTCCTCGCCGAAGTACGCGCCGTCTCGGAGATGAGTTAACTGGAATATATTTGTATTAAAAACCATAGAATATTTAACACATCTGTTAACTTCATTCTATTCCATTTTGTTTGTACCTCATTCGTGTCACTCAAATGTTAGACCTATACAAACACGAATAATGTGTGATTAATTAAATACAAATGTTGCCAACTAATTGTCAACGCCACCTGAAGTCTATCATGTGACTTTCCTACAAAATACGATTTTATTTGGCATAATTTATAATCTATATGTGATAATATCAGTGGCTGCAGAAACATACCTCCTTCCCAACAGAATTCAGAATAGAGACCGTCCCTGACGAGATCATGTACAGACAGTTGACGGTCTCCCCGCACGACACCACGATCTGTAATCACATCATACTTTAAAGTAATAACAGCTAAATCTCTCTACAACCTACTAAAAGACTTGGGTCTGTCCAAAACTAACATCAATTCGTTCTTGGAACGTGCTTCTAAGGAAGTCTTAGTAGGCTGTTTTCATAATTTTTAAGGTAGGGAAAGGAGCTTAAACGGTGGAGGTGAGTGTTTAACGCGCGTTAGATGAAGGCCCCTTAAACCTACACCTGGGTCGCAAGTCCCAGGCACTGTTGAAGCTCCTCTCCTTACAAATATAGACCCGGAACCCGCACGGTGAATATATAGAATGCTAAGAAGTTTCAATCGACTCACCTCCCCCGGCATGTACAGTGCGTGCGTTAAATTAAATATGATTGTATTAACGAACGCCACGGGCATATCCTGGAAGATCGGTATGTTTGTGACCAGCTTCTTACAGAAGTGCATGTTAATGTCCTGTTTGATCTGTTCGTTTATAGTATTCAGTATGGCCTCCTCGTTAAAATATGTACCGTGGAATTTATAGTTTAAGAATAACAGTATTTTACGAAATAAACTCTTCGGTATTCGTTTCAACTTCATATATTCTTCGAGGTCCTTCAGTCTCCCGTTGTACAAGTATTTATCGTGTTGTCCGTATATGAACAGACGAAGCAGAGTTGTGAATGAATATATAAGGAATAGCAGACCGATAATACCGATGGTTGTAGTTAGCAATAGATCTGAAATTATAGGTTCACGACAAAACTCTAAGGGTATTAAATGTTACGTTCTAGAAGGATAAATTGCATAAATCTTATTACAGTAACCTAAAGACTGAACATTTGAGTTAGCATAGTCAAACTAAATGGAAAGTTTTCAGTTCTTCACTCATCACCCTTCGATTATATGAACGTAGGTAAAGATTGTATAAACTTGTCTTTAGAGTTTCAATGTGTTTAAGTAAATACAATATGCTTCACTTTCTTTGTGTGCGTACGGCGATTTAATAAAATTTGGCCACTTAGTAGTCTAGTAAACTTTTTAGACATGAATGAAAAATTATACTCAGTTCTTGGTTTAATGTTGCAAGTTTGTGGTTGGGGTGATGTTCTTAATTTTGTAACATTCATCTGTGTGACATGCACGGTTCATTAAAGAGTTATTTAGATGTTTCTATGATAGTAAATGTAACAAACGAATCACCTGGTATAATATAATCGTCGACCGGGCTGAAATATCCGGCACCGACGCATATCCCGCACACCCAATACAAGTTAGTAGTGTACACCTGGAAGATCGCCTCGTTCGGTATCTGCATGTGGAATCGCTTGGCCCAGACTGTGTCACGGTTGTAGTAGTGAGAGAAGAACGCCGGCACCTGGTAGTGGATGTATGTCATCCAGTGGAAGAAGAGGAGAGCTCGGACTACAACCGCGATGGCGACCGTTGTCACGTACGACAGACTCAGTTGTTGAAACATCTCCAGCCACTTAATGCGTAGAGACGGCAGCCTCGCCAGCTTGAACACGAACATGACAGTGTGAGTCGGGAACTGACAGTTCTGATGAGGCTGATACACTTGTAACGGCAACGCTCCGATCAAGTCAAATACAAAAGTACCCCGGACGTATTCCTTAGCGATTATTTTCTTGTCTAACACTATAAGCTTGTTGTCCTCGTCGTGATAGCCCGTGATGAATCTGGTGAAGATGTCCAGGAATGATACCAGGTCGCACAGGAGAATGAACGCGTCGTATGGGTTAGGACCTATAACAATAACCGAAAATTATGTCCCAAAAAACATTACGCCTACGTTCAAATGTAAAATAGATTTTCAACCCAATGTCCTTTTTAATACACACTAGGAATAACTTACAAATGAAGAATACTTGGAACGGCATGTAAATGAATGCGAGTATATTGAGGAACAGATATATAATGTTCCAGTAGCACTTGATAGGGCTGTAGGGATGCCAGACGAGCCAGGAGCCCGAGCTCCTCTGCCTGTCTCTCTCCAGGGCCAGGGTCTTCCTACTCCGTAAGTAAAGGCCGACCCGTAATGCCACTCGCAAGGCAACATCAAACTCCCTATCTTACACAGCTGCCACCGCAGCCAGCCCGCGGTTGGCGGCAGGTCCATACACGCTGGTGCCGGTAACATACAGATGTGCTTACTCTCCATATCTATGAACATTCATTTACATGTATTATTTTTAACATGACATTTCTTTGACAGCAGAATTCTCATGTCAGTTGAAAAACAAGTTCGTATACCTAGTTAGATACACTGTTATAACAATACTCAAATATCATAACGCCTTATCCATCTTAGAAAACTATTTTGTGCTTTATTTTATCAGGTTTATGCTAATAAATATCAATAATGAGTCAATTTACTATGCAGAAGAAGACCTTTACCGTGGTGCACATGGGTCGGGCGGCGGGGCTCACGTTAGACTGGTCGTCGGGGTTTTCTCTCAGCGAGGGTACTCCAGGAGCGCCTCCTGTATGGTCCTACAGGTATGATACTACGTATACATTATAACTAGCTGCGCCCTGCGGTGTTACCCGCGGATTTTTGGGATTTCCGGGATGTAAAGTAGCCTATGTGTTATTCCTGGACGTCAGCTTCCTGTATACAAAATTTTATCAAAATCGGTTCAGCCGTTTGAGCGTGAAGAAGTAACAAACATACACACACACTTCACAAACTTTCGCAATTATAATATTAGTAGGGTAAACCAGTAAACTCATCTTAAAAACCCCCAAATCTTTGTACGTTAAGTATCAGGTTCATTGAAGGAAATTCAACAAATTATTTTGTGTCGTTGATCACATGTTTTTATACATTTCAGGTTCTCCCAGTTGCGGGGCTCCAGTGACGACGGGAAGTCAAAACTAAAACTACACTTCCAGGACACTGACACTAAAGTTATTGAGACCAAGGTGAGGACTTACTACTATTAAACACTCACACACTATGAATAAAATGAGGATGTAGTCTTATTTTGTATTTGATATTATTTGGAAATGACATGGCGTGTAATAATCATTCGTCATAACATGTAGCTTTAGACAAGACGAAACTTCTTAGCATTCCATGGATTCGGGTTCAATCTACTACAATTACTTAGAACTAAACTATAACTTAACCATAAATTGCACAAATATATATAACTATTGTACTAATACATTATCGTTATATAATAGTGTGATCTGTTTGTAGGAGTTGGAGTGTCAAATCCTTCAGAGCCTGTTGTTCTGTATGCACGCCTTCCTCACGGCCAAGGTGGCGTCCGTGGACCCGGCCTTCCTCGCCTCCATACAACACGCCACTTAGAACACTATATATTATATCATTCTATCAAAAACCTCCCTTCGGTACTTTGAAATAAAGCTTATTGTCGTTCGAAGATTTAAAAATATTGTATGAAAATATATAGGGCTTAAGTCCTTAACAACGCAATCGAAATGTATAAGACGTATGTATGTAAGATTCAATATATTTAAAAGAGGCTCAGTTTAGTAGTTATTGTATCTTATTATTATGTAGATAGAGTTGATTTTGCAACTATTTTTAAAATTTAACCGCAAAAACCCTTCTGTAACGAAGTCGTGAGGTAGAAAATATTTGATAATTTAAAGTAACATGGTGCTGTTTGCCTCTGATAGTTGATTGTCTGTTGAGTACAAATAATATAGAATGTACAATCTATCGACCCGACATTTGAACTAGGGACTAACGAGGTGTGTTACCGTCGCTCTAACTATTAAGCTATCGGGTCCTTCACGAGTCGATACTAATTGTTCAATCTATTTTATTTTAAATTTAATCCAAATATGTAGTTAAATGATGCTTAAATGTTATATATTTAATTTATAGACAAACAAATTATGAAAATTATAGACAGATCTTATCTCTTGTACAATAATACAATAGAACGTATCGTTCCAAGCTTGATGTTAACGAGGCCTGACCCGAGACAGCGAACTAGTTCATTAGTTGTTAGTGTTCTGAATCTCTTCCAATACTTCGTAGCTTATAATCTGTGATTTTGATACTTTAGCTTCTAAATGATTTTCTATTTCCTAGTTGTACGTCAGAATTATATAAATCTAGTTGAAAACGAATCTTCAAATCGTGTATTATAGTTTTAATTATTTTATTATTAAGATAAATATATACAGCGTTTGACCCCTCCCGTCTAGATACAACCAAAGATGTTAGGGCCGGACCACACTGGTGAGGATGAAGTCGTCTATAGAATAAAATGAATCATTTGAGAGTATTAGCGTCAGTGGCAGTGTGGTTCGAGCCTTATTATTGAGATCTCGCAATCAATTACGAGTCGCTACGACTAATCTGTACAAATTTTTATTAAGTCTTTTAAATGAATTGGATATTTTTCTTTTAATATTTTTGATGCTTTTGGCGATCCGATCATTAAACGTCCGAAAGAAGAAAACGTTATTATACATAAGATGGCGCTTACATCATATCATTAAAATTAAGAAAATTATATTGTTATAATTTTATAACGAAATTCTAAAAAAAGATAATGTTTCGTTTTTTATGTAATATTTATCCAAGTTATCTGTTGTTGTAGTACATGAGTGACGTCATTATTGAGATTGAATTGTTTAAGTCACGTGACGACCAAGTATATAATTTTTATTATATAATTAACGAATTTCGCTTTTGATATTTATAATGTTTATGTGATCGTGTCAATTGAACTAACGAGGATATTAGTATGTTAGATACCTCAGCGCAATTATTCGTCCCCATAGATATATATAGCACCACTGATAGACCCAGTCGTGACGTCATCACATCGATCAATTCACTAGCTCTAATGTATGACAATATTAGCGTTCTTATAACAGTCAGTAGAACAGTATTATGTAAGGTAGTTCATCTGTATCTTTCTATATAGTGCTTAGATACATTTTTCTATGTGGTTGTTCGCCTGTGACGGTACAAGGGCCAATGCGTTAGTCAATTTATATATAATACTCAAGACTGATGTAGTTGTGTCTTCACTGTCCGTGGGTTCGTTCGTTAGTGTAGTTCTTCAGTTCACTGTTTGTTTCGTATGAGAGTTGAACGACCTGTATCATATAATGTAACACGTCACCCTGTAACCGCGTAGTTGAATAATAGTTGTAACTATTGTTGATGATGTAACTTAATGTACTCATTAGTAAAATTTTATCCATACCATGAGTTTTATTCATTTATTCATCGTCTGTTTTATTAATTCCTCATCGGTTTAATTCCTCAATGTAAATGTTTTATATAATCTCATATTATTATTCATGGGATATATTGACTGCATCATTATCTACATACATACATATTTTAATTCCATTTATTGCGCTTGGTGTCTATGAATGTTGAATAACAAATTTTCCGAGTTATATTTCTTGTATGTATTTTGTACTTTTAATCTTGGTTTATGGATCAGATTCCTATTATAACTATAAACTCTTCTTCATCCAATAGTTCATTCTTCTAATATCTTCTGAAGAATGTTCAACATTAATGAACCACCTCATATGTATGTAATAACAACCGAAAAACATTCCTTATTAAGTGACACGCCAGCGCCAGTTTTCACGTCAAAATATTTTCCATCTCAAAAATAAATAAGTTTTTAAATTTGATGTTTCTTTAATAACTAGTCTAATATAATGTTATTACGTAAATTACAAGTCTTATTAAAATCAATCTATTGTTCTTTTTCACCTTTTCCTGGCTGTATTTAGACTTATTGATCCCTTACAATTATTCTAACATATACCTATAGCAGGAGCTCTGCTGGAAGTAAGAGAAAACATCACACGAGGTACGGAGGACCACAGCATAACCACCATTTGATTGAATTCAATAATAATTAATGTCTTTGATCAGACAACTTCTGGGAGTTATTTATTGTTAATAATTAATTTTAGATCTGTTACATTACATTCAAATTCACAATATATTTTGGAGGGATGCTATAAAAAGATATTTAATTTTTTGACTGTACAATAATAATGTCTTGCAGCGCTATTGTTTAATCGTAACATATAACTCCTCCAGTACATATTTTTTTCTTAAATATACAAATTTTTCAGTATCTATTGTTTGAAACAATAACGCTTGACAGACTGCGGTATTTCTTTTCTAAAATTGATATAAAATTGCAGCAAAGCAGCAATTCAATATGGTTTTTTTAATAAGTATTTTAACCGTCTATTTGGTTGTTACACCTTTATGTAATTTCTTTACAATAAACAGATTTTTATAAAATGTTTTTAATAAAACTTACAGTTAGAGCGTTCTTGGTAATTTAAAGACGTATTAAAATAAATATTGAAGCTACATTATACGTTTAGAAACTTATCAACCTTAATGCTGGTAAAGGAAGTAATATATTACATGGAAACATTAAACAGGTAAATCAATTCTTTCACCTTTCCTACAATATTTATTGTTCGTGTATGCTTAAGTATTGTTCTACTCATTTTTTAGATACAAAATTCTAATTATATTATAAATGTGAAAGTTTGCCAGAATGTACGGATATGTACCCGTATGGCTGTTAGTTGCTGTTTCATAATTTACAATAATGGTGGTATAGACCAGTGCCGATAGCTTTTAAAACATAAATAAATTATAGTAGAATGAAACTCATTAGAAAAGGAGGAAAATATTATAAAAATTAAAGGAAAAATAATTTACGGGCGATCTGAGGTCGGGAACGATATGGGGATGGGTTTTTAAGGGTAAAAAATGAGTTTTCCCGATTTCTGGCAAAACTAAAAATCCTACTGAAAAATATTATATGACAATGTTGTAGAAAATAAAAAGACCTAAAACTTTTGTACTAACATTTTATCACATAACCTCAAAATTTATGTAAAAAAATTCGAAAAACCATTTTTTTGGTTTTTTATTTTTATCTCTTACAAAAAACAATATTTTATCACGAAAGTTTGGTGAAAACTTTCCTTTTGATGTTACAAATACACTGTAATTTATTTGATTAGAAATATTTATTTTTTCAGCTTATTTTGAATAAATATCGAAAAATCAGTCTCATTTTCAATCGAAAAATCACCCGTCAAAATATCAGCTATTTTCAAAAATGTTGTATGATTTCAATTTGTTGAAATCTCTATTTTCCGATGGTGAAGAAAAAAATATAAGTTTCTTATAGTACCATTTTTGGATAAAATAATCATGTCTCTTTTAATGAAATGACACTCGACATCGTTTTGAAAATGCTCTTTCTAATTTCTAATTTATTTTTAATAGTTGTGTACTCTGCAAGTTCTCCAGATAGTCCCTCTTTTAGGTAATTTACAGAGAATTGACATTAACCTGTCAAAACTATTAACGAACCATGATCTCAAAAATAAATAAGTTTTTAAATTTGATGATTCTTTAATAACTAGTCTAATATAATGTTATTACGTAAATTACAAGTCTTATTAAAATCAATCTATTGTTCTTTTTCACCTTTTCCTGGCTGTATTTAGACTTATTGATCCCTTACAATTATTCTAACATATACCTATAGCAGGAGCTCTACTGGAAGTAAGAGAAAACATCACACGAGGTACGGAGGACCACAGCATAACCACCATTTGATTGAATTCAATAATAATTAATGTCTTTGATCAGACAACTTCTGGGAGTTATTTATTGTTAATAATTAATTTTAGATCTGTTACATTACATTCAAATTCACAATATTTTTGTAGGGATGCTATAAAAAGATATTTAATATTTTGACTATACAATAATAATGTCTTGCAGCGCTATTGTTTAATCGTAATATGTAACTCCTACAGTACATATTTTTTGCTTAAATATACAATTTTTTCAGTATCTATTGTTTGAAATAATAAAGTTTGACAGACTGCGGTATTTCTTTTCTAAAATTGATATAAAATTGCAGCAAAGCAGCAATTCAATATGTTTTTTTTTAATAAGTATTTTAGCCGTCTATTTGGTTGTTACTCCTTTATGTAATTTCTTTACAATAAACAGATTTTTATAAAATGTTCTTAATAAAACTTACAGTTAAAGCGTTCTTGGCAATTTAAAGACGTATTAAAATAAATATTGAAGCTACATCATACGTTTAGAAACTTATCAAGTTTAATGTTAGTAAAGGAAGTAATATATTACATTTAAATGGCAAACAAATGCTAAAATATCAAGTACCTAAATTGATGAATGATCTACCAGATAGTTTAAAAAAAGAATTGAAGGAATGTAATTTAAAATAAAAATTAAAAAAATATTTTTTATATAAACTCAAATAAAGAATCTAAAATATAAATAACAATAATTAATTGAAAGAAATATTGTAAGAATATGAACCTAAGTTTTTACATTGTTTGTCTACATTATACCCACTTGTTATATTGTTTAATTACATGTTAAAACTGAATAATGGATAAAGTGATAACGCACGACAAAAGTGCAATAATGCAATTATGTATGTATATTAAAAAAATAATAATAAGGTTACATTTACCTTGTACATGTTACTTATTTGTTAGATTATGCACTTTATATTGTTTTTATATATTTAGTTAATTTTATTACTCTATTTTGTCATACTTGTATCATTATACATATTATAAGTTTGATGTCTTTTATTGTTTAATACATTAAGTAAAAAATATAAATGTATTGAGATGTCAATGTAATTGTGTGTTAACGACGATGAATTCCAGTGTACGGAAAAACCAATACTGGTTTATGAGACACTGAAAACTTAGATATAAATGTAAAAATTCCAACATAATTGTAATAAATAAATAAAAATAAATAAAACATTAAACAGGTAAATCAATTCTTTCACCTTTCCTACAATATTTATTGTTCGTGTATGCTTAAGTATTGTTCTACTCATTTTTTAGATACAAAATTCTAATTATATTATAAATGTGAAAGTTTGCCAGAATGTACGGATATGTACCCGTATGGATGTTAGTTTTTTTTTCATAATTACAGTAATGGTGGTATAGACCAGTGTCGATAGCTTTTAAAACATAAATAAATTATAGTAGAATGAAACTCATTAGAAAAGGAGGAAAATATTATAAAAATTAAAGGAAAAATAATTTACGGGCGATCTGAGGTCGGGAACGATATGGGGATGGGTATTTAAGGGTAAAAAATGAGTTTTTCCGATTTCCGGCAAAACTAAAAATCCTACGGAAAAATATTATATGACAAAGTTGTAGATAATAAAAAGACCTAAAACTGTCATACTAACATTTTTTACACATAACCTCAAAATTTATGTGAAAAATTCGAAAAACCATGTTTTTGGTTTTTTATTTTTATCTCTTACAAATAATAATATATTATCACGAAGTTTGGTGAAAACTTTCCTTTTGATGTATCAAATACACTGTAAATTATTTGATTAGAAATATTTATTTTTTCAGCTTATTTTGAATAAATATCGAAAAATCAGTCTCATTTTCAATCGAAAAATCACCCGTTAAAATATCAGCTATTTTCAAAAATTTTGTATGATTTCAATTTCTTGAAGTCTCTATTTTCCGATGGTGATGAAAAAAATATGTTTCTTGCTTACAGTACCATTTTTGGATAAAATAATCATGTCTCTTTTAATGAAATGACACTCGACATCGTTTTGAAAATGCTCTTTCAAATTTATTTTTAATAGTTGTGTACTCTGGAAGTTCTCCAGATAGTCCCTCTTTTAGGTAATTTACAGAAAATTATATTAAGCTGTCAAAACTATTAAAAATAAATTGAAAGAGCATTTTCCAAACGATATCGAGTGTCATTTCATTAAAAGGGACATGATTATTTTACCCAAAAATGGTACTGCAAGTAAGAAAGTTATATTTTCTTCTTCACCATCGGAAAATAAAGATTTCAAAGAACAGAAAACACAGAATTTTTTTAAAAAACGCTGATATTTTGACGGGTGATTTTTCGATTGAAAATGAGGCTGATTTCTCGTTATTTATTTAAAATAAGCTGAAAAAATAAATATTTCTTATCAAATAAATTACAGTGTATTTGGGACATCAAACGGAAAGATTTCACCAAATTTCGTGACAAAATATTGTTTTTTATAAGAGAATAAAAATAAAAAACCAAAAACATGGTTTTTCGAATTTTTCACATCAATTTTGAGGTTATGTGAAAAAAATGTTAGTATAAAAGTTTTAGATCTTTTTAGTATCTACAATTTTGCCATATTACATTTTTCCGTAGTACTTTTAGTTTTGCCGGAAATCGAGAGAACCCATTTTTTACCCTTAAATACCCATCCCCATACCGTTCCGGCCTCAGATCGCCCGTAAATTAATTCTTTTTCCTTTAATTTTTATAATATTCTCCTCCTTTTTTTATGAGTTTCATTCTACTATAATTTATTTTCACTTTTCATTAATTTTAAAGGCTTCTTCACTGGCCTAGTAGGATACAAAGATAGAATGTTTCATGCCAAGAATCGGTCGTATCGTGTATATGACGCCAACTAGATGTCGCTAGCAGTTGGATACGTGTGGTTTTCAACACAACACATTTATCTGAGAACCATTTAGATATTTACGAACATTACTGTTGAAAGTACGTAAGTTATAAGATAGAGTTAATATTCTACACAATATATATGTATATACCAAGCACCAAAACCAAAAATTAAAAGGTTATCTACAATCGAAATTAAATATCATACAGAAATTACCGCTACAAGTTATTTGACTAACAAAGTTATATATGCAATTAAAGAAATAGTTGGAAAAGTCTCATCTGTCAGTTCAATTTAAATACAAATATAAACAGCAGTAAGTGAACTTTGAAATGGTTAATAAATCAGCGAGTTATAACATTATAATGAAGTTCACGAAAATAAATATCTTATTATTACAATCTCTCGCATAATAATATTGATATGATTTTTCTTATAAATACAGATCTATATACATATAAAATGTAACTCGATATCATCTAATAACAAACTAACGTCCTATTTCATGCAAAATCAATAATTTCCCTTCAGCATCTCACTCGCGCAAAGATTCATTTCAGCGCCATCTATCGTCTCCAGGAGACAGTCTGTAGTGTAAGCGTTCAAGATGATGGTTTCAATAATATACAATTCAAACTGTCTCACAGACATAAATACGTTTTGAAGTTTCACTGAAAAAATATAAGTCTCGCCCTCGCCCCGCCCCGGCCGTCAGACGTTTCATTACATTGTAAGTATTGCGTGTTATCTGTCCTCCGCTCGTTACAACAGCTCTCTATGAACATTGTTAAAATTAAAGAAAGTGAAGTTACCAGGAGAACAGAAGCTACTAGCAGGCTGGACCGAGACGAGAACGGACGCGGAACAGGACGGGTCGGCCTTCATTAGTTATTAGTGAGGACTGAGGAGTTGTACTGCCCAAAATATGAAGTAACTCGACTGGTACCAGGCGCGCAGGACCAGTTAGGAAGTCGCAGCGAGGGCGTGGCCGGGGGCGGAGACCTGCGCCCGCGCAGGGCGGGGTCTGCGCTGACGAGCTCGGCTCGCTTTCACTTCTCAGCACTCATTATCTCCTGGTACAGTTAACTACAATCTGACACAAATAAATTATGTAGAGGTCGGTCCGTGCCGCTCGCCGCTTGCTACCCTACATGAACACGTTACACGGCGCTGTTGATACATACGATAGAGAGAGTACACGAGTTGTGAGTCTTCGGTGATGACGTCACAGATACATAGAGCAGACGACTGCGATATGAAGCGCACAGTATGAGGAGTACTGACAGTGTGATATGTATATATAATATGAGTTTACGTTATTAATGATACGTGTTAATGAAAATCTTATATTACGATTTATCCAAACAAAACGCTCAAAAAGTCACCTCGACGTTACGATTGGATAATAGTTAGTAACGGTTTCTTTAAACGAGATATGTTGATAAGATTTGTTTTATTTTTTTTATCTTATCGTGATATCCTAGCCATAAGCTATGTTTTTGGTAACGTCCAACAAAAAACTTAAATAATATTAACATGGATAGTAGAATTATACATATTCCTTATTTTCTAACAAATGCCATACATTTCAATTCTTTATAATGTAAATATTTTATCTTGTAATATGAGTGTTTTATTACATAAAAAATGATTTAAGAATATTTGATAATATTATATTGTAAATGAAATTATATATATTATGTTCTGTATACAATCCATGGGGACACTACAATTTTATATAGGTATTAATAAAAAGACGATGTAGTAAGTGATTAGAATGTTAAAAGATTATTTAATCATTATTCAAATAATACCAAAGACTGCCAAATCAACTAAGTCGTATACATCTCATTATAAAGGTTGTCACGAAATAATAATACAATACTTTTTTTTATTTATTTATTTGAAGCTGAGGAACAAATTAAAGCTACAGAAACTATTAGCAACACCATCTAACATTAACACATCAACAGTATGAAACAAACAATAATACAGTGAGAACAGCACTCAAACAGACGGGATATTACTAAAATATTCAGGTCTCCTTACACTTTATATCATATAATTCAATATCTTTGCAAATTTGGCTAGTTAGGGAGAGGAGCTGGGACAGTGGAGGCGAGTGTTTAAGCGCGCGTTAGTTAGGGACTACTTAAACCTACACCTGGGTCACAAGTCCCAGGCATTGTTGAAGCTCCTCTCCCTATAACGATGGACCTGGCACACGCACGATGAATACATTAAATGCTAAGAGGTTTCGTCTCTTAACATTGAAACATCTGCTTTATTTTCATTAAAAGTTCAGCTTATTATGGCTAAGACCCAGTTTCACCAATGAATTTTAAATAAATAACGTCTTGTATTTGGTGGTCTGTTAGATGTATCGAGCTTCCCACCAAGCGCTCATGTCTATTTAAATATCTTATCTTAATGTCTTATTCAAAATAATTTGGTAGCCGGTCATTTCACTTTTCATTTAACAAATATTATTTTTGAACTTTCGTTACTAAATACCTCGTTTAAATTTAATAAACAGAGTTTGGTGAAACTGGGCCTAAGTCTGTCCAAAGTTATATGTTATAAAGTGTAAGAATATGTCATGACACAAGTTTGAACTTATTATGTGACTACATATATTTTATTAAAACATTTGGATATACTGATATGTTAGGTAGAAATACATTGTTGATACACCCCAATGAACCACGCTATCCTTTTAAAGGAATATTTAATGAAAATTAATTACATTTCACTAAATATATTAAACTTTTAAATTCTCTAAACAAGCAAAAGCAATATACCTTTAACGCGTCGACTAAAATTAAATTAATTCCACTTACAATGAAATAAAGCAACATCCAGAGATCCTATACATTTAACATCGACAAGTAAATAGTATTTAATAATGATAAGGGTATTCTGAATATACATTACTTTGTGCGTATTAGTCGAGATGAGAACAGAAACAAATTAATCTTTATATCTATAGACTAGATAATGTATAATATATAGCATAATTTAACGCTTTTATATCTAGTTACAGACCTCTCTATAAAGATACAGTTCCATATATATCTAGGCATGTAGAAATAGTTTTATTAATATTGTCATCATAAAAATATATAACAATTATTGTCTTTTAGTGTTCATTATTAATATTATTGTCTTAAGAAACACGAAAAAATTTATTTTTCATATAAAATAAGTATATTAATAAGATAAAACTTAATATGAAAAATATTAATCTAATATCAATGAAGCAGTATAACATCATTTTCACCATAATTAAATAATTTGAAAATATTTCGCAAACGACTAAAAGATATTTCAATGAACTGACTTTTGATACTTCTAAATATTAAAATTTTATAAATTACAATGAGCTCCACTCAATAATTAAATTATTCAAATCATATCAATATACGAAATATATATAAAGGTGCTATTAATACAGTTTTTCTTTGTTTTACATTCAACGCTACAATTCATTAACTAGGAATACATGTATTTTATGAAAACATAACTTCCATATAAAATTTTACTCTAGACGTGACTGTACTCTAGACACACAACCATTTTATAAGACTATTGACTGATTCATGAGTCTCCAAACTTCATTCACCTGATGCTGAATCTATATAAAACTAATGAACTCTCATGAGCATATCCAGATTTAACAATGAAATTATTATCTTATAAAGGTAATATCAAAAAGAAATACGTATACATAGAAATAAATTTGATATGACATATCTCAAACGTGCTTAAAACAAATTAGTCTAGTCGGCGGTGAGAAAAAGCAATGGCTCGAAAAGCCGAATGAACGTACAAAGGTGAGTCGAGTAGAATTTTAACTTGCTGTAATGGCGTCGAGCATTGAAGTACTTATAACTAAAAGCAAATAAACATCTAAACTTATTAACACCTCGTTATATATCTCCTAAACTAATCTATGTTACGGAACGGTTACGTTACCAGCGAGCCTACCTACTTGTATACGACATATAATACATCTAACATGTACAAACACTTAGAGCCGAACATTATCATGTTCCGTATAAAGCCAATTACCAATGCATCTTTTGTTTATTTATATCTGTCTTAACTGTATCTAAATAAAGCCACTAACCACCTAGGGTCCAAAAAAATTCAACTCTAATTAACTAACTAATATCAATCTACTCTTAATTGCAAATAAGTGGGAAATAATACGAAGGGGAAGAATGGATCACATAACAATAATATCTATATCTACCGAAATTAATAGAACGGGAGTAATAGGAGGTAAAGTAAGTTAAAAATGATCCATAGTACAAAAAACTAAGTTCTAAGGAGGTTCTAATACTTATAGTTAGTCTAAATCTATGTTAACCTAATGACGTGGCCATCGAAGGAGGCGGCTCGCACCTCACTATATGGTGAATATTTATATAAATCCCAGCCGCCGGCCGATGGACACACGCCTCTTAATTCTTTGACTATAATAATTCAGTTCCTACGTAGAAACAGAGCCACCGAGAGAGTACATTTTCTAAAATTTTAAATAAAATATTATTTACACAACACATAATTTAGATAATCTCATTTCGTTTGTATAAAGGACTCTTTATATACATTAGACACTATATAAAATTTTTCCATTTGTTAACGCTAGTAGAAAGCTCGAGTAAAGAAGGGGACTCATAAGAGGTCGACAACCTTTGTAGCCGGTGCGACAACGCAGCCAGGTGGCTAGTCTGCCATCCCGTCAGCCGGCTAGCCAGCCAGCCGACTAACTAGCCAGCCGGCCAACCAATCATCAGATAGACAGTTTTATATTTGTAGTGTACTGTACTCTTCGTTATTAACATTTTTAATTAAAATTTTTCATCAACAATATATGCGTATATATGTTAATATTCGTCTATTTATCTCGAGAACATGTTTGTGAGCTGTCGTTGTCGCACACAATATCTATAATAATATATATTATAATACATAATATTTATAGCTACTTTGAGCATAGTTTCTCTATTTTTCTATACTTATCTCGTTTAATATATTGACTTCTAGATATTTTAAAGGTCATTTGAAACAAATAAATAGTGCTAAGATATGAATATTATATACAAAAATTATCATATCATATATATGTAGATACTTAATATCTATTAAAGCTATTTTACAAACTTTGACAATCATTAAGATATTATTATCCTGCTACCCTACATTTGGTTACGGTACAATTCGACTTTCATATAATACGTTTCTATAAAAAATTATGTAAAAAGATTAACAGGTGACTAAGAATTATCTATTAATAAAATAGTTATATTTATTTAGTATATGTTATAGAAGTTTTGCTTCTTATTGTCTCGTCAGGAAGAACTAGCCGAACACTCGTTATTACGATAAAGCTCTTATCACTACGTACAGTCCATCTAACAGGTTACATCACTAAATAATACCGTTTTGATATCTACTCGCACCGAAAATAACATCAAGTACATACGTCTATAAAAGCACTTCATACTAAAACTACAAACATCAAACATCAAATGAATATAAGCTTGACTAACACGACTACAACGATCCAATAGAAATGAAGAGACTCGTATAAACTTTATTAGGGCCGACATTACAACGACACGACTCCTAGCAGATTATGTCGTATCCAGATATGCTTTCCTTATATCCATACTTTATAACATTTATGATTTTCAATCGAATCGTTGTCGTGTCGTCACATATAAGCATCTTACGCTAAACACTTCTGTATATAAACACGATAATACTGACACTAGAATCCCGAGAAAAAGTATCGAGACACGTGAAAACGTTCAAAGTTATAAAAAAGGTCAACCATAGTTCATGACTAGTGACGTCACCATTCGGTGTCTCAGTATCACAGCATCAAGTAATTTACTCCATACAATACCCGAGCGATATGTAAATAACTTCCAGCTATATCGTTCTAGTAATTGAATTAGTACATACATAGTGTATAAATTACATTTTATTGTCAACAGTAGAATAATTTATTGTCGTTAATTTAAATTTTATTGTCATACGATCATATTATTGTCATAAAACATTATTTATAAATAAAGAACCGAGTCCGCAGCATCGGCTCGTCTAACATTTATATAAACGGGAATCACTTCGGTAATTGACTTCTCGTGTGGCTGCATGCAGATCGGAAGCGGTTTGAATTCAAACGTGGGGTAATCATTTCATATGTCATTCCCGGAGCCGCGCTGCGTCACGAGTCTGTGTTAGATGTCCTCGGAGACGGCGGAGTCGTCGTTGTAAAGTCTTATCTGGGCCAGGATCCAGGGCACGTACCGCGGGACGTAAGCGTATACCCCGGGCAGGCGAGGATGAGCGCATTTGATACCCCACGACACGATTCCACCCACTACCCAGCGAGACGGCTCACTCGGATCACGACATAACAGGGGCCCGCCCGAATCTCCCTGGAACAATAGGAAGGTTTACATTAAATTCCCTTCACGATAAATTATTTAACTTTAAAAGAAATACATATTTTTATTTTATGTCTACGGTGGAATACGAGTAGATGCCCTACTCGATGGGTATTAGTCACCGTCGACCATGGACATCTGCAACATAAGAGATGTTGTGGAGGCGTTGTCAACCTTGGTAGTTGAATAAGAGGGAGGAGTAGGAATATGGAGACATCAGTGGGTGGTCAGACGTCGGTGGGAACAGGGAAAAGGCACCCGGCTCTTTCACTCATCGGACGTATCGGAGCCACTACAGAATACTTTACGTCTATCTTCTGTGAGAGGACGGTACTTCCCCAATCGAGTCAGCCCATGTTCGATATGTGTCTAAATTACCATAGTTAAGCTCTACCGCCTATAATAATATAATAAAAATATTCATAGAAATATTAAATCCAATTCATTTCAAATCCCGTATATATTTTGTTCTGTCATTTTATCTTTCAACTACGTTCATATAATATTTTTAATATAGTCTTGAATATGTAATCTGATATAAGAGCCGTCTTGTTATTGGTATCTCAATGTAGTCGACTCAGCGTGTTCGAAGCCACGTCTACTCTGTAATATGAAATGTTGCGACCGCCGACATCGTCTTGGGCAAACATAATACCGGGTAACTTTAAACTTATTGGTTTCTATACAACGTGCAGTTCAACTCGGATCTAATCTCGGCAAACATCTAATCTTGGGAACATTTTCCGTTTCTCGTATGTGCAGTTGATTTTGAAATTTATAAACGAGACCGTATTTGTTTATCGATCCTCGAAGACAATATTGTTCAATTTGTAAATAAAAATCACTTATTGTTGGGACGTATTGCCCTTCGTTTACTTTTTTCCAAACCTTTCATTTATTTTTACTAGTCAGAGTGTATATAATATATAATAAAATGCTTTAATTTAAATTCGACTCACTTTTCTCGAAAGAGCAAAATTTTGAATGTAATTAATATTATGATATCGTGAGTATGATTTGCTGCTAAAGCTAAAATATTTTAGTATAAAATTCGTAATTTCACACCACCTCCTTCAATTTCGGTTGTTTTAATTAGAATTAAACAAATATATTCGGATTACTACACGTATTTTATCATCTCACTGCCGTGATCACGGTTGCTGCAGTGTAACAAAACGTTGGGAATATGTATGTAGTTTAAAAAGAAAGACGCATAGTAATCCGAAAGTATTAGTTTTATTTAAATGAACAATCGCGAAAGTTTTAGATCTTATTGTTTTAATTTTTATTCATAAGTAGATATGTACCTTTGAATATCATAATATTTGGTAAAATACCTTCTTAAAAAAGGAAACTACTTTAAAATGGATAAGGCATAAAACGAAAATTACGTATAGTTGACCTTGCTGATGGGGTGACACGTAAATAATACAATACGTTAGCATTAATCCTTTTGGTTAAATATAACAATTGTAAAATTACTATGAAACCGGTGTCCTAAACAACATTATGGTTTAATTGTCAATGTCTAAATAACATTATGGTTTAATTAACATATGGTTTAATTGAAATGTCCACATTTTACATTCAATACCTGTAATATTGCAAATATTACAAATACATCGAAAAATAAACTCTACTTCTAACGTTATTATCGTAATAAGAATATATAAGTAATTTAAAAAAATTTCTCCTAAAATTATCTTCTAACGAAATAGTTTTAAGATAAATTTTCTTGTTTATAAAACGCTGTTGCTAACTGCACCATAATAAATCCCGCATGATAAATAACAAGTTGAAAATAAAAATAAAAGAATAAACCCTTTTAAAACAGGCTTCATTTTATTACTTGTTATAAAATTAATAAAAATGAAATAGAAATTTAATTCTGATTAGAAATGTAGCATTATATGGACCTTTAACGATCATAACTTTTCTCGTCTACCTTGAAATTACCTAATAAAAATTAAGAAAATTCATTCAAATAGCTTAAATTTTTTATTTCTAACCATTATTTTTGCTATTACTAAAAATTTGTTCGAAATTGATATCATTAAAACTTGTTTTGTAATTAAATTACATTGCATGGGTTTCAATTCGAAAAAATATCAGAAAGAAAGTAATTCTCGGAATATAATCAATGGAAATGAAAATGTAGGCAAAAACTTAGGAAGTGTATCTTCGGAAAATTGTTTACCTGGCAGGCGTCTTTGCCGCCCTCAGGGTACCCGGCACAGATCATTCCCTCAGTGACGTTCAGGTCTCGGTGCTCCAGCCACTGGTTACACAACTCACGCTGCAGTACAGGAACCTCCACCTCATTCACTGCTGGCTCATACTCCGACACTATACAACCAATATTAGTTACTAGCAAATCTAATTCACTAATAATTTAGCCATTATTCATATATTATATGGCTATGAAAAGCATACATACTATCTTTATCATCTCTCTTTCCCCATCCGATGACCGTGCAGAGTGTCCCGGGTGCTAAAGCTGGTCGCGGTGGTGGAAGACAAACAGGTGATAACTGTTCGTGGTAACGGACGCGGACTGCCAACTATATAAAATAAATGCGTGCCTTGATATTATGTATAATGTAAGAAACATTTTATTGACCAAATAATATATTGTGGTAAAGAGACAAGTCTAGCTTGCCAACCGTTGCTAATCTTTCCATATAATAATATAGTATGTAAATGTGCATGTAAACTAACCTGAAACAGTGCGATGTCATTGTCATGAGCGACGCCAACGTTGTATAGAGGATGAGGCACAACTCTTCGGACCTTAACTTTCTGACCGTAGTACGCATGCGAGCGACGCCGTGTGATACCCAACTGTATGGTCCATCCATTCACATCTGAATGACTGATTAAACAAAAACGGTTTTATTGCCTATAAAAACAGTTTTTGGTGGTTCTCAAATATTTATCTCTGAAAAATTAGAAGCTCGAAAAAATATACAAAGAACTTCGACCTTATTGTTTAATGCTGTCGTTTGCTACTAAATATGAGTATTTTACTCACTTGCCAACACAATGTGAAGCGGTCAGTACCCATTGATCAGCGACCAGTACTCCAGCACAGTAGAACACCTCCTCCGGACCTCCTAGAATCGCAGCCAGGAACGGCCAGTCACCAGGAGACGCCTCCACACCACCTACTATTCGTTTGGTACCTCCACCTATAGTTCGCCGTCTACCACATTCTGTGTAAAGAAAAACAAAAAACCTGCCTTAAAACATGAAAGCGGAATTATAATTAACTTTTCAACACAACAAACCGAGCTCATTAAGAGTATAAAAGGCTCGGTATTATTCCAAAGCCTCTGACGTCCTTAACACCGCCCTTCGTGATAACCCGAGTTTTCCACAAATTAAAATCAAAGCAGGTATAACTTATTATATTCTTATTACCTTCACTTGCAGCGGCCTCTTAAATAAAATTAACGTTGAACCCTTTATGTAGAAGATAAACCTATGTATATTATTGTGATGTGAGATAAGGGGAAACCGACCTAACGCAAGTCAACACAATGATATCTAAAAATACTTTCTGTAGACGTAAACTTGATTTAAGTAGTCCATAAATTATATAAAATGAAATGAGTTTTAGACCACAACAATAATGAAAAAAAAAACTTTCCTCATTCTGTTTGCGTTGACAGAAAAACACTTTGAAAAGATTTACTTAAGCGTTAAATAAAAGTAAATAGAAGTGAATTAAATAACGAATCCCACCCACCGGAGGACACCTGACGCTCCGTTGTTGTAATTAAAGTTTTTGCAATCCCGCACGGGGCAGCAATCAAGAACGGCTTGAACCGCGGCTAATCTTAATACCAATGAAAATTAATAGCTTAAACTGATAAAAGTATAATGTGTACTATTATTTTTTGACAACAAATAAAAAGAATAACACAAATTGAGGGTAAACCATTAAACATGTTATATACAGCATGATAAACAATATCAATACAAAGATAAATTTATATCGTACAAATTGTTACTACAAAATATTACCAACACAATTGTGTTTCAGACAAAGCAATTTCAGCGTATTAACCGCGATCGAGGCTCAGTTGGATGACACTACGGACTAATTACTATAACACGCAAATGCATCTAAATTAATTTAATTAATACCATCTATAATCCGTACACATAATATTACATTTAACCATTATCAAATGTATAGACAGTCTTAAAATTAATCTCTTTGAATTTATATACGTGGATAACTTAAATGTACGACATCAAACAAGAGCAGAGGGCTGTTATAAAATGCTACAAAGCAGCCGATAACAAAGCGGGGTGAATCTATCGCTCTCAGGTGGACAGTAAAAGATTGCGGCTACCGTGCTTTAGTGAGACCTCGCGTTTGTATTCACATGCCACGATCCGATGTATTAAGAACACCCTACTTATGTATATAAAACTTCCACAACGAGAAAAATTATTGTTCGCACAAAGAAAATAAAGAAATACAAACAGGCAGCTCACAAAAAGATTTTAATCAGATTTCTGGATTATATAATAAAAAATATCAAATAAAATATAAGCTCTTGCATTTTATTAAGAGTTTTAAATATATCTTGCAGTTTCTAAGCAAATTTCAAGTTTGTAATCGTTGGTATGTCGCATGTCGTTAGTCGTCTACATCGCAACGTCTCTCCGAGTCTTTGGGTTTGGTAATTTGTACGCTGTCAAAACCTAACCCTCGCGGGAATTTAATAAAAGTAAGCATTAATCAACATTATTGTAAATTGAGAGTTATGTTTTGTTAACTTGATCAACATCAGAATGTCTGGCAGGTGAGTTTTAATAAAATCTAGATCAATACATTCCGACGATATCATATATTCGTATAAAGAAAATAATACGGTCGACGAAAGCGTGTTTTATTATTTTATACCTTTTAATTTATACTCGTTTTAGTTTCAGATATATTAATTAAAATTTTCTATTACAATACATAATGGAAGGACTCTTTAAAATTATCCAAGAGAGAGTGAAAGTAAATTGTTTTAATTGAAATTACATGTATACGTGAAAGTTTGTGCTTAAGCCTGTATTAATTATTATACACTGACTTTAATTCAGAGCTGTTTAATTTATAATGAAATGAGTTTGGCGAAGTGTTTGCAACGCTGTTAAGCCAGAACCGAGTTTCTCGTTAAGAAGTTGTTAACAACTTTTTTAACAGCCACAATAATTAACAAGTCGTAAGAAACGAAATTTTCGCATTTTGTTAAATGTCATCGATTTAGGTAAAATTAGGTAAAGTTATGAACCGCCTTTTTAATACGTCCCAATAATATGTTACCGTAGATATTCTAAGAAGATCCGGGAAGTCGTAAATGTAATGATGAAATGAATTTTGATTTTGTCTTAACGAAATCGCTCGTAAATTTTTGCGTCACATACATCAACACTCGGAATGTTCGAGGCAACATTTTCAGTTTTTTTTTGTTATTTTTTGTCGTAAAACTGGCGCGACCGACCATCGGCTCAAATCGCTGCTCCTTATGGACGTCGTTACAGGTAATGGGTGTTACTGTAATCGAAACTCAAATTTATTACCAAAACCCAGGGGTCATTTTTCCTTGTTCTTTTGGTGAAGTAGAATTTACGGGCCCTTAGAAATTTTAGCGACGCTTAGTTTCGGCGGAATGTCTAATTAGTTTTCTTTATGTAAGTTTTTTTAATCTATTTCAATACGTGATATATGTACATATAAAAGAATATTGAATTTTTAACTCATCATTACAAAATATATGTATATATTAGGAAATAAATCAATAAAGAAGCTTTAAATATTCCATCGAAGCGTTTAAGTATTATCTTTTTCATTTCAATATAATCCGATTACAAGTTGAGAGGCTTCTGCGATGTCTTCTTCACTTGTATAGAATTTATTTCTCCAAATTTATTAATGTAATAAGTATCTCATACTTTTCCAATCCAAATTTATATTTCTAAAGATCTGATTCATTATAAAAATAGGTCAAAAAACTTAAGTTTATTCTTTGAACTTCCTCGACGTGAATCAAAGATGCTCAAACATCCAGAATTATTCCCCATGCAAAGATTTCGGTTATTTAGTTAAGAGATTACTTTCCTGAAAGTATTTTTCTTGCTGAAACATACGGAAAGCTTTTACTTTGTCACCAAATTGAATTGAAGACCAAGACATATGTGGGATGAAGGATTCTGAGGATCAATTATGGTTAGAGTTATTCCATCGAGGATTTGACGACGGCTCAGAAATTTAAATTATATAAAGCTATTGAATAGTTTGAAACGTTGAAACTAAACTATAAATATTTATTGTCAGTGACTCAATCTGTTGCTATTAAGTATTGATAATAAATAAAATTTATCTTTCATTTAGAAATAGATTGCTTATCTAGAAAAAAATTGTATTTCTTTAACCTAATAATCACTAATCTAAATATTGAATATGATTGAACATATCGTTTTTCATGATAAAGCAAATTGTTTCCATTATCAATAAACAGCAAACTAGTTGAATTAGTTTAGAATTCTATCAACTGTTTAGAATTGCGAACTCAGTCTTAAACAACTTATTAGTCTACTAGACAGAATATATTCAGTTTATGATTCCAATATCGTTTACAGACTTTATATTTTTCCATTCAATTTTATATTCCCTTTGCAAGTAATTAGCAAAATCCTGTCGTTAAAACTTAGTAAAAACTAGGAGTACTACCTTGAGAAGTTCGGAAAAAGAGAATGCTAGGAACGTAAAGTTTCTGAGGCTGACTACTTCACGAGACTTGGAGGAATTCATAATACTGAGCTCTCAAGACTTACTGGACGAAGGCTATCGGCAAATATAAAGAGAAGATTATTGTACTGAAATAATCAAATGTATTGTCACGCCTACTTACCGATTATTGTGGATCTTAATAGTCATGTCTGTGATTAGTATTTTTATATGCAGTATTATATTATTTATAAGCACTATATAAACACTATCTATTTAATGAAAATCACGATTTATACTGTCTCTGTAACAACAAACACTGAATGCTAGCTGTTCATATCCCTGGTATTGATTTAAATTAATTATTTCAGATTTACATTAAAATACGAAATTGAGGGTAAAATTAATTGGACGTTGCCGTTTCTATTACGAGATAAATTATACAAGTTTCATCTTGTAGATCTACGACTCCCCCCCCCCCGCCGCCGACATCCCCTCCCGCCTCCCCCTCAGCCCTCCACTCCGACTCAGGTTTGACTTATTAGCTAACTTCCTAACATTTTTCGAGAAGAAAGTATACAAAGAATTTAATAAATTTTATTAATTAAGTTTATTACAAAATAAATCTTCGTTTATTATTTTTTTTGATCCGACTATATTTCTAAGATAATTGTATATTTGCTCGGGGATTAATAAGATATAGCCAATTAGAAGTATAAGGAATTATCCGGATGATGCTGCAAATAATAATAATAACTAAGGAGCGATATAAATATAGCTCATTATTAAAGTAAAATGTTTGCTTTTATCACGATTTATTATATTAATATAAAGAAATAATGTAATTTTCAAAAATTTATTGATGTCTCAACAATACCCATGACTCCATCGATATATTGCATTCTGAGTATTAGATAAACTTTAATCTCCCAACATAATTTTCAACAGACGTGTATAATTGATTCTTTTTAATAGTATACAAAAGTGACATAAAATTATTGAATCCAAATATTAATGCAAACATTTAGGTATATAGCTTTATTTGGGATTGTTTTCAATTACCTTATAAAAATACTAATCTGAATATATTAACAGGCGCAAAGATTATAAAAAAAAAATTATTTGTCAGTTTATTTATAAACGGGACCACTTTGATCTAAAGTCTTCATATCAAAAAATCCTAATTATAAGGTTACTTGACTTTCAAACGAAGTGGCTAATATTGAGTGATTTTAATCTCCGAAGAACCTCTTCCGAGGATATTATGGACCTAAATATAGAACAGATTTGTAAAACAAAATTGGATGTATATTTAGGATTATATTAAACATTTATGATACAGTTATATCTCATCTTAATAAAGTAAATCTTCCAGTTGGTTTCGGTTCAGTTCGCAATGATAGAAAGCATAGGTTTTAAAATGAGGTTTCAGTGAAGTGCTGTGTTAACATAATTCAGTGTATAAAACATTCCGATGGGCAGAGTTTTAATAAAAGCCACAACGCTACACAGAGGTTAAAGCCCTTTGAAAGCTAGCCGCCAGTCCATGCAAGAAAAATTTTAATTAAACCAAACTTATTTTCATAATATAAATAAAGAGATACACCCACTGCTGAAACACCAAAAGACTGTAAAAGAAATTAAGGAGTACCAGTGATTTGAGAAATTAGTTATGGACTTTATTATAATAAAAGTTTAATTTGTTAGGATTCAACATACAAAAAAAATGACAATATTTTTTTCTTTAATATATGTTATTTCTTCGGCCTTTTATACATTTTTGGTAAGACTCGTTAAACAACATATTCTTTTGAAAGAAAAATGAAAACTCAAGATGAGTACACGGACAACGGGTTACATAATGCGAGATTACGATTTGCACAAAAAGGGTAAATACTTGATAGCAATATGATATCCATAATGTGTATTATAGCCACAATGTATTGACCGAGCTAAGCGAGCATAACGTTGGAGCTGTTGCGTGTATTGTAGCCGGCTGGTGCGGGATTACGCTAATTGCGCTTAGCATTACTATTAATTATTACTCAGCCTTAATAAACACTACAAATATGGAAATAAATATATGAAATATTTTATATTTATAATCTGAGTTTGTATTAAATGTAGCGGAAAATTAAAATGCATTTGTGTTTCTATGTGTATTTTTAAGAAAATTAATGACGGAATCACAATATTATATAAAACAGGGAATCCTTTAGTTTATTAAATTTATAATCCTAACCTTCTGTGTACTGGGTCCCTAATAAAATTCGTTTAGGTAAGGTCGTTATCAATAACACATAAAATGAAATTCTAGAAACGCCAGCCTTGTACTGTACACATTTTTCATAATAAAAAAGCACTACTCTCATTCAAGAAACAACTACGTTATTCTATCAGCGTTTTATAATCAAATTATATTTAAAATTGCTATTTTCCATTCATTATCTTGGACAGTTTGAAATATTCGATGTCATTAATAATTTATATTCTAGAAACTTACACTCTATGTGAAGAAGGATGTGTGTTTATTTTCAGAAAAATGAGAGTCAGTTATTTATAAATGTTTAAGAATGAATTAAGGAATCGGGTATATACTAAAATTTGACTCCATCCTGTGATAAAATCCTGTGATCAAAACAATAGAAAATATTATAATAAAATATATTGTTGAGTAATCCAGAGGTTGAATAATCCATTTTTTTAAAGGATTTATGTTATGCTGTAGAATTTAGTTAGTTTTATTTCTGGGATTTTAGTAGTATATTTATTTATAAAAAAGGCGGTACATTTTTTATTTATATTTTTTATCTGTCAGAATGCTTTTACTGTTCCACATTTTAAAACGCAGTACTTAGAATACAAATGGGAATAAAACTTATTTCTCGTTAAAATTTAAATTCTAAAAACTACTTGCATTCACACATTTAAAGAGGAAAATCCCCTAATACTCCACTTTGATCTAAAGTACTTTTTACGCTACAATTAATCCTTTGAAAATAATAAATCTAGAAATAATAATATTACTTTTAATCTTTAAGCTCCTTCAACGTTGAGTTAAAATCTATTGAAATTTTTGAGCGATAGTATTTCAATAAAACTTAAAAATGTCCCATTACAGTAATAAAAATCCGATAAAACTTTTAAATGACAGAAACGATTACAACAAAAGAAATAAGAAAATGGGATATTTATTAAATCATTTACAATATAGAGAAAAGACTTTGGAAATAAAACATAGCTATTTAGATGGACATTCAAAAATTTAATATCCTTTTCTATTCTGTACTTTTTTCCGATTGCCTTTGAAACACCAATGACAAGTTTAGTAACCAAAAAATATATATATTTAATGCTAGTCTTATAAAAGTAAAACATGGAATTTTGAACCTTTTACAATATAAAGAAACTAATCTTATCAATTATTTGTTGTTACTAATTATGATAAGAGTCCTTTTAGTTCTTCTTTTCTTCCTTGATATCGTGAAAACAAATGTCCTAGATAAAAGGTTTATATATATAACTTACCATAATGATCACAGACGAGGTGCACTCTGGCTGAGTCGTGGCGGCAGTCTTTGAGTTCCCGTAGTAAACCTCCCTCGCTCCGTTGGAAGGCTCGATAGGACTGTGCCACGCCATGAGCCTGGACCCCGCCACCAGCTCGAGCACCCGCACCACCCACCACCGTACTCTTATTCACCCAACTAGATTACAAGCAGTCATTTAAATAATTATAAACAAACACTCACTTGAACAATTATTTCACCAAAAAAAATATACAGAAAAATTCGTCCGCAAATTTCTAAATGTATGTACGAAATCATTAATAATAATATTATTATTCAAATTTAATTTGTCTTACTAGAGTTTGTATGAAAGCTAGATAAATTTTCCAAACTTTACCGTTTTGCACCACGTGCACTAATGCTAAGTGGTTTATTATACAGATGGAATGTCTTAATGAATACTCAAAGAGTGTAGTTTGCAAAGATGATATAGTACTAACGAGTAGCCGAGCATTGAGCACAGTTTGGAGGCAGTTGGATCGTCCAAGGTGGTGATGCAAGCTGGGAACCAGGACTGATTGGCGGCGCGATATACTTGGAGCTCCCCGCGACCAACGTCACCGTTCGCCTTACTTAGACGTACTAAAAATACGTTCATAATATAGCAACTAGTCACAGAAATTTTAAGTAAATATATAAGATAGATTACGTTTGGCAGATTATAACACAGAAAATAACACGGTTCTACCTTCTTATAAACATTACAGGAAAAAATAATTAACATCCTAAGTCTTTATTTCTATTACACTGTTTATAATAAATATTTAGTGATATCGGCAAGTTTTATTTTAGTATATTGTGGTTTCAAACTAAACAAGAATAGTGCAATAAAACTCACGGCAATTCCTTTCATCCTGTCCCCAGGGGCAGTCTATCTTTCCGTCACACAGGTGAGCCTGTGAGATGCATCTCTGGTTCCCGCAGTGGACGTCTCCACTTCTCTTACAGACGCGACAGTTCAGTTCGTCAGAGCGATCAGCGCAGTCCACGTGGCCATCACAGCGCCAGTCGTGAGGGATGCAGCGGTTCATGTCGCATTGGAAACCAGTTGGACACACTGATATCGAAAAAAGATTTGTATTTATGTTGAAATTAAATGTATATATATTTTTTGTGGATTGTTGTGTTATATACTTATTCCAATCGTCCTAAAGTAAAAAAGTAATTTAACTTATTTGTTGGGCCATTACAATGTTTTAGAAACTGTTTTATTTAACTCCTAACGAAATAAATATAGTACATATTTGTATAATCGGATGTACGTATCTTTTATATACTTATAGTATAATATATATCATACCTGGTTTTGCAGCTCTAAATCGCGCTTCCTTCACTTCTCTATTCCCAAGGCACACGTCTCTGTCAGTAGACTCCGGAAAGATTTCACATTGAAGGTAGTCTGGCATCGAAAGACCGAATACTTCCAAAAAGAAACCACAACGACGCATTGTTTCTGTTCGGAAAATAAATAATGCTTAGGCATATTTAAAATTAAAAACTGTTACATTTTAATGAAATAATAAAAAAATATCTCCTTTTCTATATTCTTATTTTTAATTTCAAACAGAATGTTATTATATTAACTAATGTTATAGCTTAACAGAATTAATTAAAACACGCATAAATGCTAAGAAGAAAATTTTATTACAAAATATGATTTCTTTGTATTTGTACAAGCTTTACGTATATTAATAAAAAAATAAAAAAACGTCAAAAAAGCGTGGATCTACGAGAATTACTTAACTTCACGTTTGAATTGGCCTTTCCTCGTCTATGATTTTAATAAAACCCTTTTGTCAAAGTTAGATGCAGGCGTCATAAAGATGTTGAAATTGTGGCTCGGGCTCGCTCTAACGGCTGATTCATCGGCGTTATTTAGGGGAAGCAATAGTTTTGGGATGAGTCTAAAAAGGCCATCGGAGCTCTATAAACACCTAAGAGTTTCCAAGAGATATATCCTGGGGAAATCCCATGATGACATAGTGACATCGCTCCCAAAAGATGAAGATGCCCCCGAGCTAGAGTCACGACTTCAATTCCATAAGCAATTTATGATAGGAGCGCAAAGTAACAGAGCGGGGTTAGGATCAAATAGGAAAGTCCAAGATGCGGATATATTGAAGTCTTTTATTCGGCAAGACGAGAATGATAAATATAAGATCCATGCAATGAATTTAGAAATGCAGAACGAGTGGTTAGACATAGGAGATTTTTGCATCCCATTAGCATTAAAATGGCGCACTTTAATTTATGATTGGTCGCCAGCATTGCTAAAATTCTATCTCAATGCGTTCCAGATGACTCTCCCAGATCAGAGTAATTTAGTAAGATGGGGTAAAAGTACCGAAAAAAACTTGCTATATCTGTGGAAAGGCAGTTGGAACTGCTAAGCATCTGCTGGTGGGATGTAAGGTACTCCTTGACAGCGGTCAGTACTCGCGTCGTCACGATAGGGTTCTAGAAGTCATACGTGAAGCGGTTAGTCTTTCGGTAGCCAGAGCGCAAAAGGGAATAACCACAAACGAACGATCAGTAGGTTTTGTGAGAGAAGGCACTAGGGCTACAAAATCAAACGTCAAGCCTTACTCCATCCTTAAAGCGGCGTCGGATTGGACTATAATGATGGACACGTATGAAAAACAATATAAAATCCCCGAGGATATTTGTGCGTCGGCCTCCAGACCGGATATATTTTTGTTTTCGCGAATTTTAAAGCGCGTAGTGATGATAGAGCTTACGGTCCCTTGGGAACAACAACATCCCCAAAGACCATACCATCAAGGTCAACAAATATTACGAGCTCACAAACGAACTCACTCGAAATAGGTTCGTAGTAGATTTGTACGCGGTAGAGGTGGGAGCGAGAGGTATAACAGCGAAATCTCTCTATAACCTACTAAAGGACTTGGGCTTGTCCAGAACTCACATTAATGCATTCTTGGAACGTACATCGAAGGCAGCCCTAGTAGGTTCTTTTCAAATTTGGTTAGGTAGGGAGAGGAGCTTGGACAGTGGAGGTGAGCGTATAACGCGCGTTAGTTAAGGGGCCCCTTAAACCTACACTTGGGTCGCAAGTCCCAGGCACTGTTGAAGCTCCTCCCCCTGCAACGCGATGGACCCGGCACCCGCACGGTGAATCCATGGAATGCTGAGAAGTTTCGTCATATTATGTATAATCGTCTTCAATATATTTTCTCAACAATCAAACAATAGCTATAATAAAAATAAGGTAAAATTATTAAATTGAAGATGTAATACTTTTTAATTATATATAATTATTTGTTTACGAAGAAATTATCGATGTAATTTATATTCTTTAATGTTAAATGAAAATACACCAGTTAGATTTCCTCACCTTGACACAGACTCCGACAGGGTCGGACCATGTGACCCAGTGGACCGCACTTGGGGACAAATAAAGAACACAGAAAAAGCGCCGTCAGTTCATAGCAGCGAACGTCCACAACTGCATCGTAGATTTCCAAGTCCTGAGAAATATTCCACTTATACCATATGTTCAAATTCTTTCGAAAATCGAGATTTTCGAAAGAATTTGAAAACAAGCGGCTAAATGAAACTTCATAAAATCTTTTTTTGGTCGAATAATATTAATTAACAAAAAAAAGTTTCTGTCCGCCTTTAGTTATTGACTTTATCGCTTAGTTTTTGGTCAATTTTACTTTACTCCCTCAACTCTGATTCAAAAAAAAGCTATAAATATTAATTATCAAATCTGTAATTACTAGTAGTTATTTAATTTTTAATATGTCGTTTTTTTCGTTCTACAATGTACACGCGCATCCAGCCAGGGGCAAGGTTTACGAAAGGCACGTGTAAAGCTTTTAGCGTGATGAAATCACACGAGTTTTATTCGACCTTTCCTGGATTATGATAGCACTCATTATGCTGACAATACTTTGAAAGCGTGTAGTCGAACTACTAAGTAAACGAAATATTGATAATTTTCTATAGATGTAAGATAAGAATAATTTTCATCCCAATATAATTCTGGAGCGAAAACTTTAAGAGAAAATATTCTATTAAAAAATTTTATCGAACAGAAATATAGGGTAATATTAAGCGTCATCGGTAATATTGAACTCAACCAGCTTCTTAATCTGTACCAAAGCAGCTTTGTCCTTGTAATAGATATTCCAGCAACAAATCTGAATTCCATTGCATTCCTATGTCAGATTTTTTTTACTATCGAAAAATCCAAAGCGCTCTAGTTATCTTTAACATTTTATTTCTTTCATAGCCACAGATGCGAAACCTAGAAATATTTCATATGTATGATAACGAGGCACGTTCCACGTCTATTAATTAACCAGCTCGGATGTTGGCTATAACTTAAGCCAAAGGAAATTCTATACCAGTTCATTGGAATTAATACTCTCCTATGTCGAGGGCCAATAAATAAGCCTTTGTCGGCAAGACACGGCAGCAGGATGTAAACGCCTTTGTTCGTTGACAATGATTGATGCAGCAACAAACCTTAATTACCGGGACGTCGTGTCGCGGATTGTGCCTTATCTGTACGAGCGACGCCACATACGAGTACCAACACTTCATACTTTACCATTATCTCATAAAGTTTCCATTAATACCATTTTGTGTTCAATATCTGATTTATTATATTCAGGTCAGGGATGCGAGGTACAGGGAAAATAGTCAATAACTTCTATAACGTACTTGAACTAAAATACGCACTTGTAAACATGTAGGTTGATGTTGTAGAATTATATGCGATTAAAATAGAAATTGCCTCTGTTAAGAATTTGTTGTTAAGTTACTTGTTTTCTAGAACATTCTCGCATTTCTTATTCTTAAGAACGTTAAGTATTTGAAATTCAGTACATGAATAAAAATAATTTAATTTTAAACTGCACTGGAGTAATAGATTCTCGTCCTAAGCTTTGACCTCGTTTATTTAAGTATCCGAGAAAATAATTTTATTTTATATTACTATTAAATTTTAATAACTATCAGTGATCCATCCATATAAGCAAATGTGCATACAAAAATTTTCACTCGCAATATACAAAATAATCTCTAGTAAAATATTTAGAAAGGTATGGAAATCGTATTACCACGGCCTTTAATTTTAAAATCGAAGCGGACAGTGAAAATGAAAAAAAAAGCAGAAATGAACGCGGGAAATGCTAAAGTATGATTCTCTTCACAATTTAATTTTCAGTCGTAATGCACTTTTGTATGTTCATTAAGATAAATTGATGAGATTAGTTTATTCCTGTGAGAATTGTTTATAGGTCGCTCATACTCGTACCTTCACTTTCATCTTTGTTTATAATCATTACATGCATGTAGGAGATGTTGTCAATTTAAAACTTTTGCATACTTCGAAATTGTTATTATAACTTTCGATATAAGGTTGTATCGTCGTAATTAATTCCAGTTAATGTCAAAGAGTGAAGTTTTATATAAGAGTCGGGGCTGCCGTGTGTTCAAGAGCTTAGACATAATTAATTGACAGTGAAGCGATAGAGAGCGTCAAAATGCTCGAAGCAATTACGAGTGGTTGTAGTGAGGGTAAGATAATCCAGAGATGTGGTGTCGGGTCACGACTCGCGACTCCTCCTTAATACGATGTAATTAAATACCTCTTAGCGTTTTGTGGTTTCTTAATGTTATTTAGAACTCTGATGAACCGTAATCAATTGTATTTTTCAACTTCAGTAACAGTAAAAGTTTTCAACTACAATGTATTTCTTTTCGATCGCTGTGTTTTAAATTTCTTTATAATAACTGATCTTGTTTTTTTACATTAGCTTACATTTCAGGAACTGTTTATATATTTATGTCATTATTTGATAAGTCGTACCTGTTGTGCATCTCTCTGTCCGAAGTGTCCAATGTAGTTTGGAAAAACAGTGAAGTTGTATGAGATGCGGTGCTGATGACAGAAGGTGACAATGACGGGCAGACAGACTCCTGGCGCGGGGTTCCTTGCACCAGGGGGCTCCGTGGGTGTAGGCCACGTCACCGCCGCAGACAAGTTCACAGCTTGAGACACATACTACGAACACAAGACATTATATCACATATTAAACTGCACTGAAATAGTTTTTGTACGTACTATAATTTTTTCAGTATCTATTTTTTAAAAGAATAATCAGTAAAAATTAAGTAGATTTAAAGATGATTCGCAAGGTATTGTAATTAGATTTTATAGTCGGCTTCATTCCCGTTTTTGAAGTTTATTCGGCTTCGTCATTCTAGAGTTTTATCAAACAAATGTCTGAAGTCACACGTACATTAACCCTAGCTTTAAAATATAAAGAGAGTATGGAACATTTTTCAGCTACTAAATACTGAACACATCATGAACCCATTTTGATATAAAATACTAAATCGAGCTAAAGAATAAAAGTTTTTACTGTTCTTTTAATCGTTCCATTATTTTTTTAAAAAAGGCTTTTGGTTTCCTCTCGCTGAACTTAACTGTTAAAGCTTTTCTAATAGTTAGTACAAAGAATATTTAAATAAATCTCAAACCCTACGTAAATCTTACAATTCACGATCACTTATCAGCTTTAATTAAATTTTTAATCTAAATAGTTTAGATAGTTTTTAATATTCGAATTACGTAGACACATATATACACCACTACGACATGATTATGTATTACGTAGTAAATATACATACATGATTTTTTTAATATTCTCGATATTTCGGAAACAATAAAACCTTTTCATTGGCTATGTAATCCTTTGTGCATGCAACTAGCTTGTTGTCATAAAGCATTCCAGTAATATATTCATATTATATTTAAAGCTCCATTATTAAATGTGTGGTAAAGGGATAACTATCTTGTACAAAATTGAATCTGCACAAAGAACTTACGCAAGCGTGTTTTTGCCAAAATAAATAAAGGTAGGGCTTGAATAGGAAATTAACTTTTTCGAGGGACAGCCGAGATAGCCTCCCGACATTCCTACACAATAATTAAACGTGCTTTTGTTGGGACACTAAGGTCAAAGTTTAATATGATGCGGTAGATACTAGATAGCCAATAATGATTTCATAATATAAGGGGTTCTCAACTTTAGAGCGTATGAATAAAAATGTACGTATTTTAATGAAAAATAAAACTTAATATTACAAAAAACATCAGTTAAAATTTTTTCATGACCATCAAAGGCTCTGTAAAACAATGCGAAGACCTTAATCAATAACAATAGCATCACTTTTTTTTTTGACAAAAAGAAAAAACTGACAAAAAGAGGATATTAAAATAATTAACTCCCATATATGTACTTATATATGTACATGTCAAAAGAGTTTGTCACACTTTCCAAAGGCATTTTAATAAATTTTACCTTAGGCCGTATGTGGTAAGAAACTTTTTAGACAAACTTCTATTTTAATATACCTATTGCTGTTTGTTTGAAGAGTCAGATTGACTGTAGAGAAGTATCAAACATCTTGCTAGTCATTTCCCATGGGAACGTCTTACTCTAGAATATAGTCAGTTTAAAGATACTTTTCAGCCATCTCAATATTACTTTATATATATTTCTTAGATTAAATATGTTTTATGAATACAATTTACTAACAATAGATAATAAAGGAATCATCTATCCTATAAAGTCAGCATAAAATTTTGTTACAATGAAATTTAATTCATTTGGACACCTTTTCAAAATTTTCCTCCCACTGTGCTCTCAAACGCTGAAATTATCCGAGGCGATAGCGGCCCGCCGTGGTGATTGTTTCAAACAAGCTTTGTGAGATTGAATTAAAATACGTTTGTTTCTGTTTTAAGGATTTGTTAAAAGTAATATAAATGACGGAAAACCTTGCTGACTTCTATTTTGCGGTTTCTCGCTTTTGTTATTATTTGAATCGTCAAAACATTGTTCATTTACAAAGAACTGAAATACAAAATGTTTTGTTGAGACAATATAAAAGTAATATTGTCACAGTATTAGATACTGAGGTGCTTTGTGGGTGAGTTTAAGTGATTGTTATTTCTGTAACCAACCTGAACAGCGGGGTTCGCTTTGAAGTATGCGAACAGAGCTCCGGTGATGGCTAACAACATGACCGCGTTGAGGGCGAGCTGCATCAGACGAAACTTGTGAGCGGAGGTGTCGGTGTTGGTGCCGCGCATATCACGAAGCATCTGAGTAAATAATATACTTTAAATCATAAAAATTATAACACTTAGCTTAGCTTATGAAACAATATTCTTTAGTATGATATTATATAAGTTCTCATAAACATTTTTTTTAAACGATTTTATGTAAAAAATGTAAAATATACTATTAAATGTCTAGTGAACGAATTCTACCTCAATAGCTAAAAGAACAAATGCATTATAGGTTCATGTAAATCTTGCTTGCGTTTCAATCCGCTCGGAAGTGCTTGTTCTCGATTCGATCGCATTCACTCAGCAAGCTTTGCTCTGAATTCTTTGTACATGATAGCGTTAAGTTTGCCAGTCGAGGTAACTGCTGGGATTTCAAGTGAAAAATGGTTCGCCGCTCGAGTTGAGCTGGTTTTCGAGACTTATTTATCTAGACTTCTTGTCGGGTTCTTACATTTTTATCTGTCACTGACAAATAATATCATTTAATACTTTTTCTAAATCATTTATAACAAACTGAGAGGAATACGCGAATATTCAATATTTGAAATTTATTTAAAGAGCGAGTTTCTGAATAAAAAGTTTCTCCCTTCAGATAGAATTTTAAAAATATTTTGATATAATATAAGTCGCACGTCCGCGGTAACATGCTTGCGGGTCTGCCATTCGGCTTTTATGAACAATGTTGAAAATGCTCGACTTCGGTACAGTTTCGTACATATTTAAGGTTGGAAATGTATTTTTATTTAGCTTTCAGTTGGCCGGTACGCTTAGTTATATGAAGACATTCTCAACCAAAATAATGTGGTGCTAAATATGTATTCAAATTAATTATCAAGTATGTAAACGATCAACAAATACCAGGTATGTCCCTGCGGTTCTTAAAAATGTATACGGCAATTAATTAAATTTTATCTTAATATTTTCGAATCCAATTTAGAATTAAATAAACTAAACGACCTAAATAAATACGTTGGATTTTTAATCATTTTCGTCAGTCCCTACCCCTCCATTGTCCAGATAAAAATCAATTGTATTTCATTAACAATGAAATGAAGTCAAAACCCGTAAACATCGTCGGTCTACCTCATTCCGTGTTTGTCTAATCAACGCACTGCAAAGGAAAACCATTTCTAACACAAGGCAATACGATCGAGAGTTTAAAAGTAATGAAATGTACCATATTAATGTTTATACCGTGGTTGTGGTCCTAGAAAACGTCTAAATACCACATTAGTACAATATTTCTTATAAGTCGCAGATTTATTACTTTTAAGAAAATTTATTGTGTATAAATTCAATTACATGGCAATTCGAATGTATTTATTAAAATATGTATACTAATACCATAATAATATGTTTGTTATGCTTACAACTTAATATTTGAACATATTTAAAACCATAATATCCAATTGTAACCACAAACCTCGGTGTCATAGCACCGTTTGTATTAATCCGATGGTTATGCGATTTCGATATTATTTAAAGCCAGACGTAATCTATTGAAACATCCGATAAAACCACATTTTCAATTTCATTTTGTTTGAAATCGCGGCTTGCGATCAAATTAAGTGCAATTCACAGGAAGCTCTTTCAAGTGTGAAATAAAATGTTTTGCGAATAAGTCACAGAAGACGGCGGTTTATTAATGGAAAATAAAGTTAAAAATAAAATTTATTTATTTTATATTAATGTAAATTTACATCAAATTTGTCTGCAATTTATTTTTCAGATAAATTCATAGCACAATTTTAACGTTGATATATAATAACACAGCTATACTTGAACGAACACCGCGTCCTTAATGTCTCGCTGTATTTTAATTGCACCTACCGTTCGGTGTGACAGTAAATGTTGAGTTTACTGCACTTAGCTTTATGGAAACTGCTGTTCCAATAAATGTTTCTCATTATAATGCAGTATACAGTTTATGCATTTTATATTTGTTTTAAGTTACGTTGGAAAAATATCTATGAAATGAAATTTAAATAGCAATTTATATGAAATCTGCCAATACCTAATAATAAAATTTAGTATTTGTTCAGATCAGATAAAAATATTATCCATTGATATAATTGCGAGTTTTACATGTATATTATATATTCACATATATATGGTGCAATAGTACTGTATTTAATGCCTAGTGTAAAATGTCAAGGTTACTTTATCTGAAAATTCATTGTTCAAATCCATTTGCTAACTATCCTGAACACGGATATTGAAACTAGATTACCTCCTGTGATTGTGAAATGCATGGACTTTAAAAGTTTCGCAGTATATTATAAGACTGTTAAACTTTATGCTATTTTGACTTGTATTAATCTCTGTTATTTAAGAATAGCAGTTGCATTATTGAGTCATTACTTACTCTGTGATGTAGGGACATATTGCTCCCGTTCTGAAATCTGACTATTGTTTGCAGTGAAGCCGGTGTGGACATGCTTTTTGTTATGGACGAGTTCCCAGCTTCTTTTTCCTGTTGCTCCTTGAGTAATAGTCCCCGAGCTATCTTAGCGTTCAGGCTCTTGTTGACGTGCTGGTGTGGTAGCAACGGGGCTTCCATCGTCTTTGTAGTATAAGAGGGAGACGAAGTCTGACTGAAGGAGTCGGAGGATACGTTTGAATCTTGTCTAACGCTAATATTAGATGAGGAGCTCGGTGATTGTTTCATTTGGTTATTCTGCGGTAGTGGTGCCGGTGTGTATGGCGTGTCTGGCATTTTTTGTGGAGACCTTCTTATAGCTGGTGGTTGCGGGTTTCTGTTGCAATCTAGTTTGGGTGGTGGTGGTTCTTTCTGTGGTGCGGGCGGTGGTCGTTTGTTGCCGTTAGGATCTGTTGTCGTTGCATTTGGTCGTGGTGGGGTCGGAGGTGGTACTCTGCGCGGAGGCTGTGGTGATGATCGTCGCGGTGGTGCGGGTGGTGGGACCGGTAAGGGTGTGACCACCGGTGCGGTCCTTTGAGGTACTGGAGGTGGTTGGGGCGGCTGCTGAACTTGTGGTGGTGGTAGCTATATATAAAGTTAATTATATCAATGCCTGTTGTCGTAAATAGTCTGTTTTGTAAAAAAATATTTAAGGCTTAAGATCTCATGATTTCGGTATCACATAGTGGGCGTGAAATGAAAAGCCTATAATAACAAGAGTTCGATTAATTAAGGGTCTATTACAGTTCTGAATACTAAAATCTAATGACATAATATTTATACTAGGCACAATTTCTTTCTTTATTTTAATATATATCAAATAAACAAAGCTTCAAATTATAAATTAATAATATCATTTTTAATATGTACCCACTCTATCAATTGGCTCTCAGCAAATCAAACACGACACAAACTTATTTCATACGAGGCCACAAGCTAACTTCATAGAGTTATTCATCAATCAATCTTCCATACAAAAATGTTATCTTATTTTGAGTTTACTCAATAATTTTAGATTGTCACGTCATATTGTTATACATAAAGTTTTAGTACATATATGTTTCGGTAAAAAAAAAATCCAATATTTTCATGTTTAAGTAGGATCAATATTATTTAAGCAGCTTTCATTTATTTTGAAAAAATATATTAAGCCCTAACCTGTTTGAACATTTTTTAATAAAAATGTATATTAATGTTTTTCTTCTATGTATTACTAACTTAGCTCTCTCCCATTTTGTTTTTTTTTTATTGCATTTATATTTTAAAAATAAAAGCTATGAATAGACGAATTTCTGATAAAAGTAGAGACGTAGCATTTGATATGATTTCATACAGTGTTGCTCTTACTTCCGGACAAAGAATGGAAATATTTGTATTCATAATACATATAACAAAGGACACTGCTTTATGATACCGTCCGAAGATAGATTTCTTACGAAACATGTTTTGAACATGATTAAGACAAATACAATAACATATACCCTACATTTACACAGTCACATTGAAAATACAAACACACATACCGAACACACTCAGACAATAATTAAAGGTATATATTTATTTGACATAATTACCTTTTTGACTGGATGCGGAGAAGCGAACCCCGAAGGCGGGCAATAGGGCAACGCATCAGACGGACAATACACGGACCCGGCTCTGGGCTTTATTGGGGATAGAAACAAAATATGTACACGTCTATGAATACAGACAAAGAAAGGAGATAGGGAAAGTAAATAATTTCTTATTACCTTGTTAACTGGATGTGATGGTGCAAACCTAGACGGTGGACAGTAGGGTAGAGCATCTGAAGGGCAGTATACAAAACCTGAGGGTTTTGGTTGTGGAGGCGCGCATGCAGCTGTCGAGTGTCGTCTTGGCGTCCCACCGTTGGGACGAAGTAGTTCCATCAGTTTCTCTCCCGGAGTCACCGCGAGGCTGCCGGCCCGGCCATAGCTGCACACGGAATAAATTCATAGAAGCATCACTAAAGATATCACTGATCTTTCATCGTATACTAACATATGTTTTTCTATGACAGTATCTAACACGAAAGCAATATTAAACAGAATGTAATTTATATCCCTTTCGATGTTTATCGATCAATTCCTAAACAAACAGTGAGTCTTCATTACCCGGCACGTCACGCCCGTCCATCTCAACCATCTATCGACCTTTCATTTCGACAGCTAATTACCCCCATTGATTACTCGCATTTGCTTTCATCCATCCGATAATGAATAAGCCTTAATTAATTTGCTTTTATGCGATTACATCAGGCTTCATGCCTAATAATATTTGTATTATTATAATGAAGTGTTTTCAAGATCTGACTGTAACGTGCCAAAACATATTTCTTGCTGACACATTATGGTAAAATTGATTCAGCAACTCCACTTGTTAGGTAAGCATTTGTTGATGTTGAAATGACGAAAGAATAAGACTGTCAAGCTTAAAATGCTGAAACATTGATACGTCAAAAATACAAAATATTAGGCTGTCGAATGTACACTATTGTCCCCGGCGTCGGGACGTGACGACCCCATCGCCCACCGGTGTATTCCGGTGCAATTAGTCACGGGGGGGAAGGGCCTTGACCTCCTCGTGGGGTCTTGGCCCGGGCTGGGGGTGCAGCCCATGGAGGTGGGTAGGACGAGGCTCGGCGGTGTACACCGCCGCTGCCAAGTTCGGCCCTACGTGTTGGCGGGTGGCCTCGGCCACTGTCGGCGCAGTCCGGCGTCGGGACGTGACGACCCCATCGCCCACTGGTGTATTCCGGTGCAATCAGTCACGGGGGGGAGGGCTGGGGGTACAGCCCTGGGAGTAAGACGGTCACGGATCTGGCAGGAGGCCGTCCGTGGCTGTCTGGGGGGGAGGGGATACTCGGGTCTCTCCGGAGGCCTGAGTTCGCTTGTGGTCGGTCGGTTTCCTCTCTGTCTGCCGTCGGGCGCTTGCGCTCGTCGGTGGGTGGTTGGAGACTGGCCGCGTGGGCTTGGGTGGGAGGGGTAAGGGGTTAACCCTCTCGCGATTAAGCAAGCCCGCCAGGCGGGGGGACACTCCTGGTCACTTGGAGTGAGCCCTCGGGGGGGGGGAGGTGGCCGTTTCCCGTGGCGATCCACTTGGCGGCAACGGAGAGTGACCGCTGGTGTTTTAGTGGGTAACATGGGCCCTTCTGGCCGTGAATCCCACATAACCGCCTCTGTCTCCCCTAGACGGAGGGGTAGGTATAAAACCTTTCACCGCGATAACAAAAAAAAAAAATGTACACTATTGTCACCAATTTATACTAACTTTAAAATAAAATGTTTCAAGTATTTTTATTAAATTTGATTATTGTGCATTCGTTTTGATAATTAAATATTGGTTAAAATGGTACGATAACTAAATTAGTAAGGTGAATGACACACGATGTTTCAGAATCATATCCTACTAATGTGGTTATACATATATGTCTTTTTATGGCTCTCATATCAATATAAATTTAACAATGTTGCAAATTGAGAACAAATACTTCCCAAGTGAATAGTGCACTTTAATAGAGGTACTTCATATTAATAAATTAAGTCTAGAATCGGTGAAAACTCAAGACACAATAATTTCAAACAATGAACAAACAATGTAAAAGATAATTAAAGAAATATCAGTTAATGGTTCTATGAACTGCTATTTATTTGTTCTAGATTTTCCCTTTTAGATCTTTTAAAGTTGAAACTGATATGATGAGTTGAACTTTCTTTTCAAATTCTGAAGAAAATAAATATCTTAAGTTGTATAATGGTGACGAAATGCTATGAGATATATACATAAAGGGTGTTTTTTTTAGAGATATACAACTTTAAGTTGAGAATACTTTTTTAACTGGCAGTTATTTTGATAGCTGTCCAGTGATTTGTGTTTAATTTGGTTTGGCAATTCATCATGAATAGACTAACGCCTAAACAACGCCTCCAAATTGTGTAAATTCATTTTGAAAATCATGGCTCTGTTCGAAAAACGTATCGCGCGCTACGACCATTTTAAGGTCCACATAATCGTCCATCAGAATAATTAAATTGATTAACAATGGAACGTTTTCGCACTTCATTTACTCTAAATGATAATACGCATCCACAGAGATGTCCTACAGTGCGTACAGAAGAAGTTATTTCTGCTGTGGAGCGTAGCGTAGAAGAAGACCCGAATCAGTCTATCCGCCGAATATTTGGTCCGTACTTCTTTAGAAACGATACTGGCCAGAACGTAACAGTCAATGGTGACCGCTACAGAGCGATGATTAGTGACTATTTCGTTCATCAATTAAACAACCATAATGTTCAGGAGTTCTGGTTTCAACAAGACGGTGCAACATGTCATACAGCTCGTGCCACAATTGATTTATTAAGAGAAACATTTGGTAACCGCATAATTTCACGTTTCGGACCCGTGAATTGGCGCCCAAGATCATGCGATTTAACGCAGCTTGATTATTTTCTGTGGGGATATGTAAAGTCGTTAGTCTACGCTGATAAGCCTGAAGCCGTTGATCACTTGGAGGATAACATTCGTCACGTTATTGCCGATATACAGTCACGAATGTTGGAAAAAGTCGTTGAAAATTGGACCTCCAGATTAAACTACGTACGAACCAGTTATGGAGGTCATATGCCTGAAATCTTATTTAAATTATAATGAAAGAATATTATCTTTTCAAAATATTACATTTCATATCAATAAAAGCAATCATTTTTGTTTTATTTTAGTTCAAAGTTCTATACCTCTAAAAAAAAACACCGTTATATGTGTAACTTGCAAACGGCTCCGTTCAAGCAACGCAACGGGTGATATTAAAGCTAAGAAATTTCACCAAAATTCTCACCTATTCTAATTTATTACTTTGTTAAGTAGTTGCTAGTAGTATGTTCTAATATATAGTATGAGAATATTAGTGTTATCAGTCTGCACACGCATATTATTCAGACTGCACGTGGAGTATATTAAACTAACTTAACAACAATATTAAAGTAAGCGCCGGCAGCGCTAAGTTTTGTAATTAATCACACTTTACTCTGACTAATTAGTGTTTTCAATTTGTCTCTATATGATACGGTGATCTTATAACGTTTAATATTCAACGAATATGTGAAGAAATCTAGTCAGGAGTAATTGAATACTCGTTTACAATAATGTATTCCTTGTTCCCTTATATATTTATACACTGAGTAATTCATCTAATGAAGAACATCCTTTTATTTTGGACCTACAGAATAACTTTATTAAAGGTTTATAAATATCACAAAAGGATTCGGTCAATAGATTTTTTTAGCGTGTTTTATTTTGTATATTTCTTTATCCTTTTATTAAAAACATTGTTAAATATATAAAAATAATAATGTATCAAAATAAAACGTTATATTATAAGACAGGAACGTTTCTCTGACGTGATATTAGCTGTTTTACCAGATTCTTTAAAATTGTGTTATAACAAAATTATATCGGCCCTAACATAAATAAGTAGTACATATTAAATAATATAAAAATACAATAAGTAAAGAATGTTACTTATTTCACCCACGTCATTATTAAAGACAGACAAAGGTAATCTGTATTAAATCTCATAATGAAGCCTTCACCACCTGAGACGGACAATGTACCATCAACTTTATTTTTAAGCTTCTAGCTAGCTTCGCGTAAGTGTATGTTGAAATAAACTGGTAAAAATAATTTTAAATGAATAATAAAAATGATAAGTTGGATAAAGCTACAACTTAACTCATTAAAAATAGGCTTTAAAAAGCTATATTCTATGTTTCATTAAACTTGCGTAGATATAAAATATAAATGTAAAAGAGTAACTAATCACACAATGTAGTAGTCGCTTACAATCCTCTTATATTTTGAAATGAGATTAAAGTTAATTTCGTTTTATTGTCTGTTTGTTGAAACTTCAAAAGGGGAAGAAATGTGTTGAAAAAATACAAAGGAACCATACAATTCTAGTGTTAAAAGCTGATAGAAGCGCCTGGTGTGTAATAAAATAAACACACATCCTTCTTTTAAATGAAACGTAAAGTCGCGTAGTTTATCTAAAATATTATATTAGTTTCATTTAAATGAATAAAAGTCGCGAAAATCTTAGATCTCATTATACATCCTTTTTTTCAAATAAGAAATAATGATAATTCTTCGATCATATCGAATTGCTTTAGTCAATTGTTTTCTAATAGAGAGCATAAAATGTTAATGTATTTTTTTATAATTTAAATTTTAGATTAATAAATCTAGAGAGATATTAATTAACAAAAAGGTAAAAAAATACTTTAAACTTATAGGCAACTGTAATAAATAAATATACTGAATCATAAAATATTCAAAAGTCTCAAACATTCATTCTTAATCCATACTTATTTACTGTAACTCATAATTATGATAAATAATATATATACACGTATTTCATAATATTGATATAACTGTTGTTAAAAAACCTGAATGTCACGTCGTTAATAAATGACTTGGAATTATTTACGAAATAAAAGGTAACAGCAATCTGGCCTAATGTCACACCGATGATTGAAGGATCGATCTGGACTCCATTAGTGCTAGGGATGACACTGTCACATTCGTTTAATGGTCATTATAGAGGTTTGATGTCACTGTGCGATATAGAAACATTTTATATTTTTTGATTTCAATTTAGTACAAAAGACTTAGTTCATTATATCTGTATGTTTAATAAAATTATCGTCCATTTCTTACTATATAGTTTAGTAATATTATTGACATAATAAAATTGTTTATTTAATTATTATGATCAGGGGCATCCCTAATCCAGGACCATTAAGTTGGCGGCCTTTCTTTTGCTCCATCCAAGGACGCAAGGTGTTGCCACGCTATCGCTTTATTAAATTTTGAAAATCTCTTTTAAATTGGAATTGACTGTATATTTTGTATCTATATAATTAGTACGGTGTCATACTGTGTATAAATAAGAAAAAACATGTTTTAAAAGCATTTACTAAATAAAAAATTAAATATATATAATTACTTTCCAAGTAACAGAAAAATGGTTTTTGAAAAACTTTTATATATAACTAATTGTAACAGTTTTTATGGCCAGACTATGTATATATGTGTGTGTTTTCAATATCCATCCTATAGATATTTTCATATCCTGTTACAAACAATAAACACTTGAGAATAATTATTTTGAAATTATAGTAAAACAAGCAAGTAGTAGGTATAGTTTTTTTTTATATTTAAAGACTTATTTCATTCGAATTAAAGTGTAGTAACAATTAATTAAAAGTGGTTGGTCTCAATATAATATATACATAAAAAAAATGAGCAAAATAATTTGTACTTGATATAATTTAACTAAAATAAACAATATTCTAAAATTGTACTCATTGTAGCTACTATTTATTTTAAGAATAACGACGTGAAATACTTAAGAGAACATTGAATCCAATCAAGTACTCAAAGTAATAGGAGATAGTATTATAATAAGAATATTTAATATTATATTTTCTTCTCAGTAAGTTCCTTACCGCCCTCGTACGGAGTCTGAATCTTCCCCGGGAGCGTCGGGTTGAAGGTGCATCCCACTCTGCGCCCACGTTACTGTGAGCCAGTCTGAAAATAAAATGAAATTATTAGCAAAGAATACTTTAATACCATATAGCATAAGGTTCAAAATAACCTTTCATAGCAGACAAAATATTAATTATCAAACATGTAGAATCGACCTACACTAGAATAAGAAAATAGAAAAATTTGTCTGCATGTAGGATAACATAATAATGTAAGAAGAGAAAACAAAAATATACAAGAAAGGAATACATTTGTAGATAAAAATATAATATTTCTTTCATCAAAAACTATTAAAGCAAAGCAAATTCGAATGAACCTGATTTATTTAAAATATTTAATACCCTACTTACAACAAAGGTTGGCACTTTAAAAAAATGTACATAAAAAAGAATTAAACATATTTTATAGTTCCCCCGACACCGGTGTGATAATAAATAATTTTAAATAAACCGACAACCACCGACTGCGCTTTTATTACACACTACAAAATAATAAATTCAATTTTTCGACATTTTAATATTATTTATCCACCTCTCTTTATACCATGTGTATTTATGTATATATAATAATTTCACTATATATTTCATTTGTTAGTGTAATATATCTGTAATATTTGTTTTTAAAAATCATCATTAAAAGGTCACTTTGATTATTCGTTTCCTAATCTGCATGTTATTGCACCTTTGTTCTCAATCGTCGATGCTTTACGGAGTAGAAATGATATTTTTTACTACGGATATCACTAAAAACCAATGCCTGACTTTCAAGTGACAATTACTCACTGAGATTCAAACCAAAATGAGCCACTCAGAATCAACGAACGTTATAGGCGGTGCAAAGAAGCATGTGGATCGTTATGACCGGACATAATTTATTATAAATGGGCCTCAAATAATTAACTGCTATATAAAAGTTTAATTTAAATGTTTTTATTTTATTGTAACTTGAAATTCCAACATTTTTTCCAATATTTTTTTTACTCTTATGAAAGCGGTCTTAGACAGCGATGACTCTTTTATGATGTGTTTCAATACGCATTAAACTAAACAAATACGTATTAATTTCATAATAAGAATGATGTTAACTAAATATAATTTAACAAAATGCGATCTACTTGAGATGAAATTCTTCTCAGACTGTATTCTTTTTATAGCTTTGAAACTTCCAACTCTTAACTTCTTTCAGTCAAGGTAATACAGATCCGTTACTCTTATATAATAATATAAGAATAACAATAGTTTATTGTTCAAATATAATTTTGTTTACAGTCAGTCACCAGGGCATCATTTAAGCAGAAACTGCTTGTGTTAGGACACCATGTACATATGTATATGTTATTCTTTAAAATACCTTATCATTATTCACATCATAATTATTCCTTGTTCTTCTTTCAATCCTTTTTCAGGTGTTTTGTTTCTCAAATTCTTTTTTCGTCTTATAATGAAACTAATTTACGTAGGACATACAAAATTAGAAACATCATCCTTGATGTCGTACAGGGTGCGTGAAGACTCAATGTGCAAACTTGGAGTGGAGGAGACTGAGTAGGAAAACGATCCCTGGGTCCTTCCGCCCTGGGCGGGACGAGAAACCGGGATAGATGCTAAGATAATGATGATGATGATAATACAAAATTAGAAACAGTATGTATTACGTACATATTTCGGATCAGTTATAATAGTTGGAATAAGTTAAATCCGATAAAATTCATATAAGTTTACAGTAGATCAACTTTCCATCGATACTTTATTGCTTATAGATGACATCAGCAGTTGAGAAAATAATTAGGTTTACAGATCTTTATTTTCCAAAAAAGACACAAAGTCACTTACATGGAAACAAAAAATTCAAGTAATATTAAAAGTCGTTAAATAATTAATTTCAAAAACATGAAATAGCCATTACTACAATGTCATCGTTTAATAAACAAGAAAGCACAAATGTTGTTTATAACAAGCACGTTTAAGGAACCTTATGAACATAATACGTATTTATTTGATATTCATACTTGTCGTAAAGTATGAATAGTTAAAATTTGAATGAGTAAAATTATGACATTCACACCTTTAGCTGCACTTAATTCTTATAAACTTTAAAAGAACATAAACTTTTTCTATATTTTTCATACATACATAGGTTACATAAGTGAAAGCTAAAAATTTATTTATTTATTTTTATTTTTATTAGGGAAACAGACAGCATATCGTATATTACAACTTAACAAATGTTTTTAATATTAAAAATAATCCTACATACAAATGATAAAATAACTCAAAAACGCAAATAAAATTAGTAAGATCGTAATAGTTTTATTTAGGCTTAAAATAACTTATTTTAATAAATGCTTGTTAAACTTCGTTGACCTGTGCATTTCCAACAACTTATCAAGTATTCGTTTATTATTCATTTCATTGCAAATATATATTTTCAGAATAAACCGATCTCATTTATGACAATTTTATTAAAAAGAATCTAACAAATCTATTCTTCAATATTATCCGCTTCAGTCCTTATAGAAATTGTGACGTTTTCTTAGAATAATATACTTAAATATCACAAAAGGAGATTTAACTTAAAGAAGTAACAGTCGGTTTTATAAGAAATACAAATAAGCTTAAAGACTTAAGGCTAATATAATACTAACATCAATATTTGACGGCAATCTAATTGTATCTTTTTTATGAAAAGACTTAATACATATACATAATTTGTTGTTATTATCAATCTCCTAAATGAATACTCGCGAAATTCTTAGATCTCATTATTTATATCTGATTTTCTATTAGTTGAATGAAAAAAAAACTATGTTAATGCACATTTAATCAAAGCTTGTTTTACCAAATGACGCGGAGTAAACCACACATTGTATACAACACAATGAACATACTAGAAACAAAACTTCATTATTCTTGATTTAATACAATTGTGAATGTTTTTTTTTGACGTTAACAAAAGTGAAAAGAAAAATGTAATTTTATACATTTCATAAAACAAATATTAAAATAATTACTTGCTCAATAATGATGTGTGTTTGGTGTTACTAATCTTCATTGTTGTTTTTGTTTTATAATAATAGTTTCAGAGTATGCTAAAAACATTTAGGTTTAAATGTCGGCAAATAAATTACAAATTTCTGAGTATTCTCTTTTATAAACATTCTTTGAAAAAAAAAAGAATCAAAAGTCTGTTTAAAAATACCAGTAGATATCTAATCTAAATGGAAAGTTTTATTGAAAAGTAATAAAATAATTTTAAAGAGGGAGATGATCATTTCATTTTATTTACCACATTGAAACATGTAAATCCTACAATAGCCAGTGACTGGTCGTATAACATGTATTGTTTAATATAATTTTAATTAATGTACAATCTAAAGATATGAGTGTTACATTTATAATAATAGATACATATAATATTAATGAACTCTCGAATCACGAACGCCGCTCCAAGTCTGTTGAGCATTCCGTCTATTGTTTTCAATTTACAATATTAATTGCTTTGATGAAAACTATTTATTCTTGGGCAGTGATTCATAGAAATAACATGTATATCATAAATTTATTTTATACGTTTATTTTAATTTTGATTGTTTATCAAAAAGCAGATATCAGAATTATCAACCTTGATACTGTAGACAGACAAAAAGTAGAATCATATGAAAAAAAAGAATGATCTCGTAATAAATTGTGAAAATACCTACTACATATATTTTATCTGTTACAGTAATCTTCAAGGGAGCTACTATTATCAAGTCTTACTCGCTCGTCCATTCGATATACCACATTCGTACTTTGTTCACTCAACAATAGACCGACCTTCAATTCTTATCTTAAAAAATTGCTTACTACAGATAAGACTTTTCCATTTGCGAAGTAAATCAAAAGCTAAAAAAATCACGTATTGGCTAAAACATTTTACTAAAATACAGTTTGAGAAATAAATATATGAAATGGAACTTATAAAAATATCATCTAAAATTAAGAATTCTCACAATCCTTTAAATCGAATGTCACAACGAAAGATAAATATTTCAAGATTCAAATAAAAAGATAAACCTGCGAAGGGAATCATTCAAATGTTAAGTAAATGTGAACAAAAATGTTCATTTGTATTCCGATCGATCCTACTTCAAAGTGACATATCGGAGAAGGCTTTCAGTTATTTACAATATTTATTCTCATTCATATTATGTATATTAAATTATATAAAGTTATTGGACGTACGCCTCTTGACGAGGGTCTCGTGAACGTGGACTGTGTCATACTTATATTAATTTGGTAGATCACTCATGTTTTTGTTTGTCGTGACAAATTAAATGGCGATTTGTTAAGCAGATTACTCTACTCCTGACTCAAGCAAACAATTTTCCGGTAATAAAGCAATACGTGTAGTAACCATGCGAAGACAACTGGATGAGATCCCATATAGAAAATGATTAGTATGGGGATTAAACATGGAACGATATTAGAACGACCAAAAAATTTAATATGCAGTAGATAAAAAGCAATTATTATAGATAATAATTACATGTGACATCGTGAAGGTGTAAACCAATTAATACATAGTTTCCTGAATGTGAGGCGTTTGCTTTGATGAACGAAGAATTGACCATACAATTTATATCTTATTGACTTCGATTATGATGCTAAAAAAGCCACTTATTTCTATTATGAAGACCAAAGTCAAAATTTTAAACAAGTGAGTCATTTTGTATTTATTAATTGGCACCAGTTCGCCTTAAAACATAAATATCTAAATACCATGAAATAAGTTACTAAATCTATTAAAGCTGTAATAGCTCTATATCCTATGACAATTTCATTATAACATATCTCACTCATACATATATTGATGACACCGTTCTGGCTATGACTATTTGATTCGGATACTTCATATTTTTATTTGCCGCACGAGAAACATATTCTGATTTTCATCTATGAGACTTATATCATGAGGGTATATCCTTTTGTGATCGGAATATAAATAGTTCAAAGGTATTAAAGGAGAACAAAATCTAAAATAATGAATATTGAATAGAGGGGTGATTTGATCGATGGCATAATCGAGACCCGGGTTCAATAAGTCCTTCATATT